CTTATTCTTCGGCGGATGTAGGGGTGCCGACGGGTCATCGACAACATAGATTGCCGACTGCCAATCGGGAAGCTCGGCCTCAATCCAATTCGTATCTTCGCTCTGCGTCTTCGGGACAACGAGCATCTTCGTATACGCGGCTCCGTCGGGCTTAGGGACACCAGGCACATATTGCGGCTGGGGCGCGTATGGTGTCCGGGACGGGCGGTTCTCCACCAAACTTATGTTCGAAAGTCCGGATGGTGTCGGGCTAGGTGAAGCGACCAATTCTCCCAGCCCCACGGCCTGGGGCGTCCGCCGCCATTGTCTCGAGAGGCTGCTGACTGTGTAGAGGAAGATGAAGAAAAAGGCAAGACCAAGGAGGGGAACCGCTCGCCGTGAGGAAATCATCGAAGAAGATATGGAATACTATACAGATTGAAGTGAACAATAAACTAGGCTATCGCCATCATCTCAAGTACACCCATTAGCCTCAATTTCTTGTAACATACTCGCGATTAAGGTTGGGGATAGCGACATCTCAAGAGAACCGTTGCGGATGCCCCTGAAGATGTACAAGAGGCGCCACAAGGGAAATTCACAACTCACAATCAATTCAAGACAGCGAGCAGATCATGGGCTCACACACAAGACTTCGAGAACCAGGCTGTGAGGAGAATAATCCCGCTAGAGAAGCTAGAAGCAATGTCGCCCTGCGACCTCAGCGGCGCAAAGACGTAGATGAGACTCCAGTAGCCAGTAGCCAGTAGCCACAACTGGCATATAGAACGCCCTAAAGCAGCGACCAGGGAGAAATTCGACGGAAAGAAATTGGCTTGGAGGCAAAAGAATATCCAGACTTGAATAGAAAATTGACAATCTAATCTAGACAGGTGTTCACACAGACCAACCTGGAGAAGGCTGGCGCATTATTCCCCGAGGGCGGGCGGAGGTGGAGCCTGTGTGAGCAGTGGTGACGACGCAGAGAGTCGAGGCCGATTAGAGAGAAATGATGTCCCAATGGTACTCATGAAATCATTAAGTTAGGGGTTGCTGTAACGGCGTTGAGGTTTATTTTTCACTAGCTTGATATCACTGCTAGGACAACCAGTGGCTGAAGGAAATTGAGGTAGTATTCTTAACATCGATCTCTGACTCTGAGGCCAGGCCCTGAATGGCGGGCTGTGTCGGCTACGTTAATTTAGCTTCAGAGTCTTATTGGAGCAGCAAGACGATCCTCCCCTGATCTGCAGTCAATGGATGCAATTCCTTGTGCCTCAAATTTCAATAATGGTCAAATCGTGATCGATAAGGCCGAAGCAACGATCGAGTCTATTTTGACTATTGCAATGCTTTTGAGGGGATCTTACGCAGCGGATAGAACTTTCATCTCCAGAAGTATGACATCTTCCATATACAAGAGTGCAACACTTGGGATGATCAGACCAACATTTCAGCACGTAGAAGACAAAGATATGTACAAAGACAAGATGAGACATTCACGTTCTGCTGCGTGTCATGGTAAAGATTCAGAAACAGAGTTTAAGATCATCAGAGAAGGTAGTGGAGAGAGAAATATCATGTTCTTGGTACATGAGAAGCGCTGCGATATGATGGTATATACGCACAACAAACCCGGGTATGATTCAGAATCGCTCAAGAACGCCATAAAGCAAGATTACAGAGGAATATGCACCATGAAGAGATATGAGGGCAGTTGGTGGGGCAGACAGCCGGGTTTTCAAGCGTCCTCGTCCACAGCATCCTCGACTGTCATCACTCGTGACTTGCCCTTGGAGGAAGATTCTGGTGATCCGTCCGCATTCGTGGCCTCATTGTCCCATGCGGACGGTTCCTTCTTTTCCGACGGCTCCCCGAAGACTTCGCTGGTCAAATTCTGAGACGAGGACTCGGGATAAGAATGCGCTGCCGCCGTGGGAGTTTCTGAGCGCCAGTCAGGCAGCGAGGGAGTAGTGGATCTGGCTGCGTTGACTATACCCGAGCTTTCCCCATTCGCATTCACTGCCGGCGCTGAATTCTGAGTAGCAGGAGGATCCTCAAGCACTTGTACCGTGGTGGCAGATCCTGGGGCGGTTGTAGGAATTGGATTCGAGATACCGCTTGGACCCTGTTCGGCCGATTGCAGGGGAATAAGAGACCAGCCTTCTGGGAGGCTAAGGCCCTCTGGAAGTCGAGAATCGCCGGATGGAATGGACGATGCTTGATGATCCGAGATGAATTGTTGACGTAATGTTGCCGACAAAGGTGAAGAGGATTGGAAAGTAGATCCTGAGGATGTGGTGGTGTTCGGGTCGCTGGGAGCTGCAGGCAGATTCCGAAGTCTTTGTAGCTCCGCCTGGAGCAGTCGCACATGATGCAACTGTTCGGCAGTAACACGGAGGTTGTTGATTTCCTGCATTATCTGCAGCTCCATCTGGTGAAGCTGATTTTGCATCTGCAAAAAATTCGATGGTGTATTCGTCGGGAGAGCTTGGGGCACTGCCGCTGGGGCTGGCCGTCCAAAACCGAGTCCGAAGCCAATCTGCCTTGCACCGGGCGGGTTTGCATTATTCGCTTGTTGCGCCGGGGCATTGCCCTGGTGAATCTGTTGGTGAAGATTGCGGAAGAGATCACCCCGACCTGCTCCAAAACCAATCCGGAATGGTCCAAACTGGTATATACGGGCTCTTGGCAGGTTATCAGCCGGTCCGTTTCCACCAAAAGGTTGATTGCCATCTGGCATATTTGGTTGCGCACCGGCGCCCCCGTTGCCTTCACCAAGATTGGCACCCCCGCGAGGGTGATCGCGGCCACGCGGAGGCGCCGTGACGGGGCGTCGGCAGGTGGGACAATTTTGTTGCCTTTCTAACCAACTCCGAAGGCAAGAAAAGTGTAAGATGTGACCGCATGGGAGTTTCTTTGGACGTAACCTCTCGGGAATGGGAGTCCTTGGCTGAGCAGGCGCTGCCCCGCCCTCACCTGCGCCCGCAGGCTCCTGCCAATGAGCCATCTCTTCACGACAAATGATACAGACATCTTCTCTTGCTACCTCCTCAGGAGTGGCATCTGGATAGCGCTCGTTCATGTCCCGGGTCGCATTGCGGTAGCGGACGAAATCCATTATCCGTCGGCCGAAAGAACGAATAGTGACGACCACATCACGAAGGATATGGATAGGCAGGCCGTAGAACATGAACAGGATGGCGAAGAAACTCAAGTAGACCGTCAACTTGAAGAAATCGGTGAGCAAATCGAGGTAGAATATCCAACGACCCTTCTCCTCCCAGCCTGGAACATCAAGTTCCATCTCGTTGATTTCATTCTCATCCGGAAGGTCGGCAGCTGGAGCCGTCTCTCCGGTTTGCGCATTTTGGCGTAGGGCTTCTTCTCTGGCCACACGAATTTCCCGGCGGCGCTCTTCAACCTTGGCCTTCATCTGCTGACGGGTTATGTATAGCTCAACCAGAGAGATGGTGTACCTCGCGGCGGTCGAGCTCGAAAGGATGGTAAGGACGGCAAACTCAAACCCGAACATAACCATCATATCCGGTCGCGCTTGTTCAAGAACGGTCGTTATGCAGTATTTCAGCATGAATGAATCGAACAGAACTGCCAGTATGAGAGAAATCGCCAGCCGGGTGTGAAACAAGCGCGGGTTGGCGGGGGGTTGCTGCTCCAGGAACTCGACGCGGCCTTCACCAATCCAACCCCAGACCTTCCCAACAAGTAGACAAACAAACATGACCAAGAACCACCCGCCAAGTTCACCTCGGAATATAGTCATTGCCAGGCATGTTTCTGTGACCGCAAACCACGCCTTTTCGTAAAGCTGTTCGGTTTCTATCGGCCGCAAGGGTCCGTACAGGAGACGTTGAAGCCAGAACAACAGGAACCCGACGACGAGAAGACACAGATTTGTAAGTATCTGCGGTAAGTCAGCACTTTTGTTAATTCGCCGGCGTTGTCAACAACGTCGTCGACTAGAAAGACCACCGGAAACTTACCATCAGATTCGCACTGCTCTGAGAAAGGTAAACGCAAGCAGCGTAAAAATTAGCCCTCTGATGAAGCGCTTTCAGGACAACGGCGGTCGCCAGAGCCGTAGAGGCCTATACAGCAAGTTGGTCAGCCTGTTGTCGAGTCCAAGCCTCTTCCGCCTCGTGCGAGCAGCTTACCCCAGCATATGCGGCTAGTCTCATGGCCACAAACTAAAAGGACGTGAGCTGGGAGCCCAATGTCATTGATATAGACAAAAAATGGGGTGCAGCCAGATTTAAAGGTCAGCCAGACATTAGAAAGTCGTTGATGCAACAGAGTCCCTAGCGAGTGAGAGGATAGAAATGGGGCAGAAGAGGGATCGCGTGTACTCAGTAGTTCTGGACAGCTATACCTATACAACTCGTGGGGAAGAATTCGGCCCACCGCCCGAGTTCCTGGCCTTACGTCAGCGGATCACCACCTCTTGTCACTCAAGCCTCGATTTTCCCGAGTATTCCTTTGTTTGTTGTGACTGAGAGAACCGTCGAGGGCCGCAGATAATTAGATGGCGGGTTAAAGGTGGATGTTGACATTAATTTCATTTTATTGCTATATGGCTATCGATTGCAATGCATTCCTTTACTGAAGTACTCCGTACTGCAGAATATAAACAAACGGCTAGAACGTAAAGGTTGAGGCATATGCTCAAACGATCTGCTAAAACTAGCTTTTTCATTCCAAAGATACCGTAAGATTCTTCTCTCGTCTAATTTGACTTGCATCAAGCTCTTGGATTCTAAGCTTGAATATTCAATGCGACCGATCGAAAGTTGGATCATGTGACCGGGGACGTCAGACAGGTAATGGCCATGCATCAGGCGTCAGTCATCCTCTTCAGCTCAATCCACGTCAGATCATTCTCATTATCTCGCTTGACGTTGATGCGGTATCTCTATAGAGCAGTATCCCATACCAAGAGATAGTCGAAAGGTCTCGGCAAGACTTACCAAGCACATCGATCAGACTATGATTTGGGTTATGTGATGGCGTCACGACGAGCTCTATTTACAGCCACCCGCACCCAGACACTCACATATCTGCTTGCCGTCTGTCCATTCTCCATTGCCTTTTTGGTCTTCATCAATTCATCTGTCTCGTTTGTGGTCACTGAATTGATTGGACTGCACGATGGCGAGGGAGACGCTGTTGGCACATTAGGATTTGCTGATGAACTGCTCGCGCTGGCCGCGTGCCCCTTATGGGGATTACTTTCTGATCGTATAGGTGTCCGCAATGTAAGTTCTGTCATTTTCTCTATCAATGTAGTTCCATTATCACTGATGTGCTCTCAACAAAGGTTTGCGTTATCGGCTACGGCATCATAGCCGTCGCGCTCGTTGCGTTCGTGCAAGCAAGCAATGTCTATCCTCAGCTACTACTGGGAAGGCTATTCTTCAGCCTCGGAGGCTCTGCAGTCTCGACCATGGTGACGGCTGTGTTACCTGCCGTGACTGGAGGGACCTCAAGCGAGCAACTGCGTCTCAGGGAAGAATCGCAGGCTGAGGCGAAGTCTCCTTCCTCTAGGCTGGCCGGATTCGTGGGCATGTGCGCTGGCTGCGGTGCCCTCATATCTCTAGCTATTTTTCTTCCACTACCCGCTCGTTTTCAGAGCTGGGGCTACTCACCCTCGGAAGCCATCCAGAACAGTTACTACGTGGTTGCTTCGGTGGCGCTTTTGGTCAGCTTCTGCAGCCTGATGGGTCTTAGGGGTCTTGCAAGCGAAGAAGGAAAGGAATGGCGCTTATTGTGGACCGCCCCCAAGACATCTGTGTCCGAGACCGACCGGGTAGAATTGAGCCAAGGAGTGATACAATTGCCGTATCTTGATCAACTTAGTACAGCGCTTTTCTTAGGGCTGCGAAACCGAGATATATTCCTCGGTTACCTGGGAGGTTTTGTGGCTCGAGCCTCATCAGTCGGCATTTCATTGTTTATCCCCCTTTTTGTCAACCACTACTATCGACGATCTGGTCTGTGTGGTCATGACCAGGGCGAGGTGCCAGAAACGATGCCGAGAGATATCAAACAAACGTGCCGCAAAGCCTACATCTTGGCTTCCATTCTGACCGGCGTCTCCCAGCTAGTTGCTCTAATTGCTGCACCGGCGTTTGGGTATCTGTCGGAAAGATCGCGCCGGTACCATGCACCGCTTATGTTCGCATCTTCGGCTGGTATTCTTGGCTATACTATGTTTGCGCTGTTGCCTAGTCCCCAATTTAGGGGATCGGACGGCAGTGCGGGTGTCTTTGTCCTAATGGGCTTGATCGGTATCAGCCAGATTGGGGCCATTGTCTGCAGCCTGGCGGTGCTGAGCAATGGTATCCTCAGTATCAGTCTTGACTCTGACGGCTCAGAGACATTCCGCAGAGAAGAGGGTCCCGTTAGTGCTCCCAATCGTAGTGGACAAACTCCGACGAGCCAAGGGAACCAAGACCTCGACGAGCATCAGCCCTTGCTAGACGGATCTACGCGTCAGAGAGGCCACCAGTTGTCCGACCTGAAGGGATCAATTGCTGGTGTTTATTCCCTGTATGGAGGAGCAGGAATATTGTTTTTGACCAAGCTTGGAGGTCTACTATTTGATAACCTGTCTCCAGCAGCTCCGTTCTATATAATGGCCGGCTTCAACGCTGTACTGCTTCTCGCAGGAATCGCCACTGGCGCGATGAGCTATCCGAAAAAGTCTGCCAGCCGTGCTGGGGCGTAGCTGACTGTCAACTGCGGCCGATCGATTGTCAACACTACCTGATGGATCGGCAGTGAGTTCCTCTCAAGGGAAAAGTTGCATGAGGAAGAATTGTTACGATTTGATGACCGTATTTCTCAATCATTGCGTGCATATTACTTGACTGGATACGATGGACTTTGCATAACATAGACGCTCTACCCAAAAAGGCAAGTCAAGTGCCGCTCGGCATTTTCCGAATCGTGCACTAGTCCTGAAAGGTCTAGCTCCCGCGCCGGTATTTTCCGCCAATGGTATTAGTGCACAATCAGCCAATCAGCCAATCAGCAGCTGGTAAAGATGCCCTGAGACCCCATATTCCATTCAAGGCGTCAATCAGGCTTTCAGGCTTTCCACTGTCCCCCTGACCCTGAAATAACCACCAATCTTGATTCTTGCCTTGTAGTTGTGAGCCGAACAAAGACGACTACTTACTCTGCAAGTCTGGGGTCTGAGTCTGGGCCCTGGAATAGACTTTGGCTAAAAGTTTGTCAGCTTGGAAAACTGTTTCACCAAGATGACCAAGATTTCAGCCGAAGCCCCCATGACCCGTAAGATGAGAGTCATTTATCAGGGGCTTGATGCCCAGAGGCGAACAATCTTGAATCGCTTTCCTTCGTCCATTTTTATTCTCATCATTCGAACGTTCATTGAATTGTCCGTGTTGTCGCCAGTCACTCGTTTACGCCTGTACGACTAAAGATACCATAATCATTATACTCTGAGACTACTTTTTCGTCGTTCTCTTTCCGACGCGCCTCCTTTTATTCACCTCCAGACTTATTTCGATATAGCCACTCTCCTTGAGACTTCACAAAATGCGTTCCAACAACCTCCGCTCTCTTGCGCTTCTGACAGCCATCGCGGCGACAGTCGCTGCTGAGAGCACCGTGTCGCTGTTCCTGCCCTACGCTGACCCCCAGAGCCTTGTGGCAGAAGTCCTCGGCAGTGTACGTTTGTTGAAGATCATCACTGTGCAACATTCTGCAAGATCATCTATCTGACGTCAGAATCCAGAGCGGCTCTGCGACCACCTACGTCGTCAACTGCGCCTCTACCGAGCAGGACTGCGGTATGCCCTCAGGCGGTTTCACAGTTGTCCAGGGCGCCTCGACGATGCAGCAGGCGTATTCTTACGATGACTAGTACGTTGCCCTTGTACCGAAAAGCAAATGGAACAATCCACTGACATTCTCAACAGCTACGTCTCCCTCGGCTGCAAACTCGGCGGCACCACCTCCATCTCCTGCCTCGTATCGCAGACGGACAGCTCCACAACCCGTGTGACTGCCAGCGCCATGACCGAGGACATCGGCTCTCTCTTCCTGCCCGTTGTGGTGACCGGCACTGCCTCCGCCGGCGCCCCTGCCACCACTGGAGCATCTGCCACCGCGGGCACGGCTTCGGCGACCGCCACTGGCTCCGCGAGCGCTACTGGAAAGATTACCCTGGCCACGTCGGGCGCATCTGCGACGAGCGGCGCCCAGGCCACTGGCTCTTCGGCTTCGGCCTCGGCGTCCCACAGCTCCAGCGGAAACGCTGCCATGCCTCAGATCACCGGCAATGCCAACTGGGCTATTGGGGGTGCTGCTATGGCTTTGGCCCTGGCCATGGCTTAATTGCTTGATGGGGTGCTGTGGAGTTACTTGCTTGGAAACGGGATGTGTTGTGTAAAATTATCGGACCGTTATACAAAATTAAATAATGCGGGTAGAAAATCTGCCTATCCCAGCTTGGTCCCAAGTGACGGTCGCACAGGCAAATTGGCCGCCTTGTACAGCGCATCAATCGACTCCATCTGCCAGATACTCTCCTCATTGCTCACCCAGTACGCCGGCGTCTTCCCCTTAACCGCATCCACAAATGCCTCCAGCTGCCATCGATACGTACTCCAGTGCGGATTCCCGCCCTTCTCCCCCGTGCTCGTTACCACCTTGCCCCACAAGGGACCACCCGAGTACTGCTTCTTATAGCTCACCTTGCCCGTCGTCTTATCCTGGATCGAGATGTAGTGGTAGAGATGCGGCATCATGGCGTTATAGAAGTAAATAATCGCCTTCTCCGTCTCGACCTCGATGGACGGTAATTCCCAGACCCGCGGAACCAGGCCCGCGACTTTCTCGCGCGCCATGTCCGTGTACACGCGGCTGTGCACGGGGTTGCCCTGCGGGCCTTGAAAGTCAATGTGCGCGTACATGGCCTCGTCCACGCGCGGGTCATCCTTGGATGGCCGCACGCTGACGGAGATGATCTCCTGCGGTAGCTTTGCATGCAGCGCGAAGCGGGTAAACGAGAGCGCATAGGTCATGTCCATTGCCGATCCGCCTATCCCCTCGTCAACACTCTTTATAATAATCCGCACAAGAGCACTCAAAAGAATCAAACTCACCCGCCAAATCAAACTTCCACCGGATATCCCCCCCCGGAATCCCAGGACTAGCCGTCATAGCAGCCTTCGTACAGAGTATCGTCCCATACTCCCTCGAATCCAGGATCTGGCGCCACGCATGCGCAGCCGGATGGAACTGCCAATGGAACTAGTCGTCGCATGCACATCCACCGTCAACCCCTGCCCAACCGCGCAAACAAAAGCCCCAAAGAACGCGAAAGAAAAACTTACAGCCTCCTCGACGATCAGCCCCTTCTCCCTCGCCAGCTCAACCAGCCTCTTCGCCTCGTCCGCATTAGCCGTAAACGGTTTCTCGCAGAGCACATGCTTCCCCGCCCGGAGCGCTTTCGCCGCCCACTCGTAGTGCAGCCCGTTCGGCGTGGAAATGTACGCGATGTCCACGTCCTGATCGTCCAGGAGATCCTGGTACGAGCCGTAGGCTTTGGTGAAATGGTAGCATTTCTGGTGCTTTTGGGCGGTCGGGGGATCGCGCGAGGCGATGGCGTAGAGAATGACTGATGGGTGGGATTCGGCGGGGTGGATTACTGGGGGGTCGGTTAGTATTCGGCGTCATACAGGAAGGGGTGGACTTGCTGGCTGCAGGGTTGATTTGGGCGGTGGAGATGACGCCTAGTTTCAATGCGTCTGGTGTTTTACTGGGGGTGATGTGCAGCCATGAGTAGATGTATTGGTGGAGGAATGTAGCGGCTTGGTCGACGAGCGCCATGATCACAACAGATTCAGGATTGATCAATGCCGATGCTGAAGCTGAGAACTGGTAAGATCGTTTGGTCACTATAAGCTTGAGATCATTTATATCGCACCTGATGGTCTGAGGTCTTGTCGATGATGACAACGGAGCTATGACGTTATAACTTCATCAGCCTGCCTCACGCATCACTCCGTACATACCACGAATGGTAGCTTCATATCGACAAGTATTCGAATATTCGAATATTCGGCCCTCAAGGCATGGCAAATCAATTATTCTGTCATAATTCTATCGAAAGTTTTAGGTCATATGCACAGAACATTGCAGAGAAGGATCTTCAATTCATAAACCATAAAATACGGTCTTTCTTCTCCAACTCCGAACTGATATGGATGTCTCGTAGAAGGTCATTACCGAGAGAACTTGCCCCCTAGCCCAGCCGGTCCCTTTCCAACGCCTCGATCCTCCGGCCTGAGCTTTCTCTCTTCTCCCGGTGCCCGCACCTCAAGCCCGGCACGAAGGATGTTAGTCCGCAACAGCCGGAGATGTGCCTCTTTTCTGAATCTGACAAGGCTCTCGAGTGCTGCTTGCTGCACGTCTGCCCGTAGATCGGTCTGCTTAGATACAAGTACCCCCTTCTCCAGGTCAATCCGAGCATCCAGCGTCCCATCCTGGATCAGCCCGATCAACTCTTGCACGAACGGGGAGTTGAAGTCGGTCGGATGGGCTTGGCCGCCAGCGACCCCTGGAGCAAAGATCTTCAACATAGAATCGAGCGTCACGCGGCTAAAAGGAACGAGGTATTGCTGGATAGCTTTGGTGCGGATGCGGGTGAAAAGGGTGCTGACATGACGTTGAAGGTGGATGTCGAGTAGATAATCAGCTTTGTAGGACTCAAGAATCTCCAAACAAGGCCGGAACTTGGAATTGCAGAAGAAGGAGATCGCCCGGCGAATGTGCGGTTCTAGTTCGAGGAAATTGCGGAACGAGTTGTTGTCAAGTACGCGGCGCTGGAGCTCGTTACGATCCATCGACGCAAGAGCACAGAGCCCACCATAGACCGCCACGTCGTTCGATGTGAGGACTTCATTGTAAGAATCCCCAAGCGATGGATCCGTGGCCAAGAAACTGTTCGCGGCATCCAAGTACGATCCGGAATGCAGCTGGGACAAGCCCAAGGCGGCAGAAATCTTAGGTTGATTCTTCGCCTGCTCTTCCGGTTTCGACTGAAGGTTCCGCAGCCGTTGCACGTTGGATTGTACACTCAACCAGTCTCCCCGCTCGATTGCCACGTTGATAATCTTGAACAACATAGAGGCGATGTGGCTGGGTGTTGTGCAATAGTCTCTCATGCGGGAGTAGGCCTTGGAAGCGGCCACCAGGTTGCCGATCTGATGATAGTGTAGTCCGAGATCTTCGTTGCCCATCTGTGAACATATAAAGTAAGCAGTGCTGCTGATTCCGGCAATATTCCACATACCCGTATGCTCTCCTTGATCAGATTGTTCTTATAACCCCTCAGCTCGTGCTCTAACCGGTCCGTCTCAGACTTCACAACTCTCTGCATATGGTCCACCCATTTCGTGTCCTCGATGGCTTCAGGTTCATTCGGTGAGACTTCGGCCAGTGCTCGGACAGCCTGTTGGTACCTGACTACATCCTTTCCCGACTTCGCTTCAGCTACCGCAGCCTTGAGCGCTTCCGTAGAGAGATACGTGGAGCAAGTGCCTATGAGGTACAAGCGATTGAATCTGGTCCGGCCTGTCGTGCGAGTATCAATTAGTTGCGGCTGTCGGAGCTTTGTGCGCATGCCATGATTTCCTACTAACCGTTGTAGTTCGCAATGTAAGACTCGAGTTCAAATTTAGGTGGATCTTCAATGGACATCAGCTATTTTCCCTCATTGACAGTTGACCTCCCCGCTCGGATAGCTAAGGACAACTCACCATCAACCTTTGCAAAAGGCGCTGGTGCTATCGTGTTCCCATTTGTACCCTCTGAATCAACCATGCCTGCACTGGAAATCTGTCCGGCGTACAAACCGGTTTGAGATGCATCAAAAGCATCTGGGAGTGTTGAGTCCATGGCTTCGTCGTTGTGCACGTGCAACGCCTGCGTCGACGGCACGGTATTTCTTAAGGATCAGAGTTTCGTTTGGAAGCAATAGGATAGCAAGAGTTTGTAAGTGCGTTCTGATATGCAGAAAAGAAGCACAATCTAGAGTCCCCAAAGCTGAGTCCGGTGATGCTTAACAGAGCGATGCGGAGAACGGTGTACTGCACGATGAGCGGAGAGCTAGTGACAGTAGTAAAGTGCCAGAAGGAATTAGTAGAAAGGATTTTTCGAAAGGTACTTTTGAGCCTACAGAATCCTTCTATAGGCGATAGCTCTCGAAGCGTAACAGGTATGAGATTGCAGGTCTTATGCTCTAAGGATGGAGTATCGGTCATCATCACCGGCATTATTTGGCATTCTAATCGCTAAGGCACCATGGCCGAGTGTTGACCGCCCCATCCACCGCCTTCATTCTTCTCCCCGACAAATCAATGATTTTCATGTCTCTTGTACGGCAACCAGACTATGTCGGGCGCAAGTAGAGGAAAGCAAGTCATTAGCTCATCAGATGATGTCAAAGATCCCATCACTATGATCCCCGACTACAGCTCCTACCGATCCGGTCATCTCGGTATCAACCTGCGCTGTCCAATCCCAGTGTGAAACATATCCACTCTCGGGGTGCTCCATGGAGGCGATTTCAGGCAAGATGTTTTCGTTGACTGGCCCTCCGTTGTTCGAGTTTCCAGGCAGCCTAGTTTCGTTACTGAGTCTCAGGGGAAGACCATCTGATGGCACCTGAGAATTCTCAGCCGGCTCAGACTTGGAGGAGTGATCGCCGCTAATGAACTTCCATATCAGTTTATGCAATAAGCAGAGGAACAAGCGTTAAGCCGACCTTGGGTTTGCCCTATTACGCAGTGAGCTTCAGGCTTACTCAATTGAACAGAGATACTTGATATATACTCACAGATCCTCGTCTGCAATGGTCGAGTTGCTTGTTGAAGAGCTGGGGAAAAAGTCAGCATTGATGACGATCGTGCCGGGAGCTTCCCTCACTAGCTAGAATGGAGGAATGACGATGAGGATGAGCTATGGATGACTGTCAATCTTGAACGTGGCCTGTTTGTCTAAAATGGTACATACCCAACCGTTGTGGCGGATGCGTTCCCCGTTGTACTGATTGGACTTATTGCTCCGTTATCTATAGTCTCGCAGGCGAGGCGAATGAGGTGCTTACCGCGTATTCGGTGGGGGAGGTGGAGGTGGCATAGACCGGGCAGTTGCATAGTTGCCACGGCTGGTATGATTGTGCTAGTGTGTATGTCAGTGCTACTTCAGTGAACTATAGCTATACGTCGAGTCATACCATATTGTTTCTCCTTCTAGTAATTCGCTCTCTCATGCGACGGCTGGCGTTCAACCATCTTCTCCGACGGCGCCATTCTGGTCCTGTGTTCGTATTTTCTGATGTCGTCGAGTTTCTCTCTGTTCCGTTCGGAAGTTGCAGCATCATCGAAACGTGGCCCTGTATCATCTTATCAGCCCATGCTATGATGATAATGTGTTCAATCGCCATGGCACATACGAGGAACATCAGACCCTCTCTAAGAGGGCACCTCATTAGAGGATGACCTCTCTGTAAACAGAGTTGACAAAATGGACCCTGCTGCTCATCAGCAATCACTCTCACCGTTGAGCTTAATCAAATGCCAGTCGAGAGGTGCTGGCTCATGCGTACCCTAGGCATCCTGCGAGTACGACCTCGTCTGGGTGTGTTGCGAATGACAATTCCAGAGAAAGGCTGATCTGGATTTGATAGAAAGAAGCAGGTCGCAGAGATGGCTTGACTGTGGATGCACACGCCCTTCCAGGGAGAACTGAACTGGACCACGAGATTTCAGGTTGACTGCTGAGAGATCAACGTGACGGGCAGCGAGAGGGGTAAGGTAGAGGCCCCGGGGAGGGAAGGAACAGGGTAGAAAGACGAGACGAAGTAGGAAAGACTCATCAACGAGGGGAGTCTTGAAAGAGCGGACCGGCCTAATTTGAGATGAACAGCCAGGCTCAGCACTGACTGTCAGAACAAGTACCTAGGTAGATCTCCCAGGTGTCCATGTTGAATCCATCAGCTGTGTTCGTTTTTTCAGTGAGATGCGTGTCGTTCGACCGGTTCGAGATGTTGTAAAACAAGACGGAGGTGCCTTCCACTGCCTTCCACATCAGCTGAAGCAAAATCATCTCGCGAATCTGTCACTGTGTTTGATATTTAATGCCACTACAACCAGTCATATCCTTAGTCATTAATAAATTGTATTTGCAAAAAATCCAGAAGAAGCACCGTGATTATGATTATTCAGATAGGCATAGGTCGTGAGAATTGATCGACACGTCACAAAACAAGGCGTCTGCAAAGACTTGACAAGAATAAGCTGGGAACGACGATAGCGGGAACTCCATGCTATATGCAAGGAAATCAGAAACAGAGGCATGAAATGAAACGACGCTGAGAGTGTCTTTAGAACAACATCAACAAGAAGAAATTGCAATCCAGAAAGCTATCCCGAGCTGTATCAATCTACAGCCCACAGTGTCTAGTGAAAGTCCAGCGCAAGCTGTTTACAGCAGCACTGCGAATCCAGCAATGAAACCACCCACCACGACACACAGACCATACACATGTCCAATGTCAACGGACGAGACCCTGACAGCCGCGTTCTTGTTTGTGGCCTCTCCTGTGAAAGCGGCCAGAGTCGTAGTCGTAGCAGCATTCTTGGTTGGGTTCGATGTGGCACTGGTGGTCGTAGTGACATTGTGGCGCTTGGGATTTTGAGCTCCACAAGGACGCTCAGTGCGGCAAGCAGACTGACAGGTTGCGTCGGAGCTGTCGCATCGATCAACACACTCGGTGTTGGCCTCGGTGCAGAGATAGTAGGGAATGGTCTGAGAGTATTCGGAAGCGTTAGGAGACATCTGGTTGCTGCAAACACAATTGTAGGTGAGATCATCCTATCCGAAGATAAAGAAAGTCTGTCAGCAAGTTATACTACAAGGTGGCCCAAGGTGTCAGATTTTGACTTACGGAGTCACAGTCGTTTTGAATTGGATCACCAGTGGCATTGGCCATTTGGAGACAGAGGAGGGGACACGACGAGGTCTGATCTAGACACCATTTGCCTGGCAGGGTCGAAATAGTCAGATAGAGCTCGAGTGTGAGAACCACTGTATTTGAGACCTACTTCGTGTTGCGCTGTCGATGGCACTAATGTTGACGGCAGTCCAAGTTTGGCTGCTGACCAGTCCGACCAACGAGGCGGCGACAATTAGAGCACGAGAGAAGATCATATTGATGATGATAGTGTGTCAAAGGTTGAACGAGGAAGACGAGACAATCGCAGGTATTTGATAGCTTTCTAAGCTCTATTTGGGGCGAGTCTAAAGATACTCGGAGAGTTCAGGTCTCAAAGGAAGAGGGGGAGGGAGAGGGAGAGAAGAGAGATTTCCGGGTGAATCAAAGTCAATAATGACCTTTGCTCTTATGAACAGCCGACTACTGATAACGGAAACTCTGAATGGAAAGTGAAAGAAGAAGATGGGCTCTTGAAATTGACCTGGGAACCACCAAAGCAAGTGTACAAGTGGAGAAGCAAACAAGCCGACAGTGAGGAGAAGCTCCGGATGAACTGAATATGGCCGACGAGGAGCTTTTAAACAGCCAGTCCGTGGTACCACTGAAGCAGCAGTGGACTAGTAGAGGACTAGTCTAAGGTAGTGCTACACGGTATTTGAGACTAGACACTTTATCTGTCACTGGAAACTGGTGGCGAGCTATCCAAGTAGTGTAGTACGATGTTCCGTATTTATCTACTAGTCACCTGCGGAGTGCGCTATCAGACCATCCAACCTTCCTTGTTTTGCGGCAATTTTGCAAGAGAAAGTCGGTGGTTAGCATGGTATCCTCTCGTGTGTGAGATAGAAGATGACTCTAAAAGCAATCTGGACTACGGATCAGATCGGCTGGTGGACAGAAATGAAGGGAGTCGGCTGTGTTAAGGGGCTACATTTTTCCCTTGAAGAAAAAACATGTCGATCCGGGGGAATCCTCAATACTACAAACAAGGGTCTGCGTCCCGAGCTCAGAACCCCTATCGGTGCTGAGAATCCACATTCTTCCCATCGAACGTGGGGTGTCTCAGTCTCCAAAGTCCAAAGGATAAGTTCACACTTCACAGTCGCACTTCAAAAGTCCAATTCCTTATCAATGTGCTTTCTCCGCATCTGACCATGGAGCCGAAACATGGTGTTGGAAATTGGAATGTTTTGGAAAGAAAGAGAGCCGATCAATATTATTGACGGATGTCTGCTTGGAGAGGTGTCTGGATGTCTCACCTAGAGTCATTGACTTTCTCCAAGCAAGAAATTTAATTGGACGGAATGACTCTTGGCTTCTTCTAGTGTTTACACTAGATGGATGGCACTGCTCGCTAACAGAACGAGGACTATCCAAGGGGCTTTCGGGAGTACTCCGTACGGCTGATGCTATCCGGGACCCTCGAAGGAAGATACTCTTTGCAGTTTGCACAGATAATCAGGCAGAAGTTGGGACCGAAGAGAGAAGATGATCCCTCTTGAGAGAGGATGATTAACACTGACTGATGACAGCTGCTGAAGCATGCCGAGGATGGACTCTGCCAAAGTGACTAGTACGAATAAGGAAACCTGCTGACACATGACTTTCTGCTCCAACTTGCGGTCCGTTGAAAGTCCCGTGATCTGGCCATGATTTGGCCTGAGGACATTGAGACAACCAGATCGATCCCCAGAATCAAGAAAATGTAAGGAATCGATGGTCAAGCGACATTGGCTATGTCTCAGACTCGTCATCAATTTCTGATGGACAACCTTCTTTGAGGTAGTCTTGCATCTGATCTGATTTCTTTTCTATTTTTACTTTCCTCTCGACGCCTCTCGGACTCTTGCTGCATATCTACTACACCCACTGGCCCAGGCAGGACACAGACCAACCACCCGGCAAGCTTCGCTAGTGAACCACGTTAGTGATCAATATCAGTGCCTCCCCGTACCCTTGCTTCCGCCGTTTCTGCTTTGCGCCATTGCTCCCCTCATTTTAGGTTGCATTTCATTTCGTTTTACTTACTTGTCTTAGTCAAGCACAGAGTACCAGAATTGAACTGGCAAGCCCCCCTGTCTGGTTCGGTAACCGTCAGTGCCAGCACGTCCAACCCCCTAAGTACAGTTAAATGGATGGAGCCAGCGAATGAGGAGACCGGTTCGGTGCCTCGGCTGCAACCGCTATCCTCCCCTCTCCAGTCTTCCACCACCACATCCCCCACCGCTGTCGACACTACAGATACAATTGTCGCTGCTGCGCTATCCGACGGGGTTAGCGTGCGCAATGGCTCTGTCCTCCCGCAGGTCCGCCATGTCTCGTCCACTGATCGTCCCGTCTCCGGTGTGATTCCGCCGTACTGGAGCCACCACCGGAATGCATCCCGCACGTCTCAGGTCTCTCTAGATCAGCCGGCCATTACATTGGAGGATCATACTGAGGATCCCAACTCGGAAACCAGCCGGGGGCTCTGGGCCAAGAGTGTCACCGTCGATGACTATGCGGTTGTCCAAGGGAAGACTGGAATAGGAGCATATGTGGTTTGGAATTGCAGAATCCAAACCCTTGATGTATGTTGGCTCGACGTACAAATCAATAATGATTTAATGCTAACATAGACCTAGGGTGGTCCTATCACTGTTCGCATAAGGTACGCCCTCGACCATCCTATCGAACCCGAACAGCTGGACGGCAGTTCATCTAGCTCACATTGCACAGATACTCCGAATTTGATGACCTACGACGGCAATTGCAAGCCTCTTTCCCACATGCGAAGAACGCTTTACCAGCACTACCTCCTAAAAGTGTTCTATGTATGTTTATCTCTGTGGATAAGACTGACTTTCAGTTAACGATAATCCTCAGATAAATTTCGCCCTTCTTTTCTTGAATCCCGACGAGTCGGCCTGGAATACTTCTTGAAGTAAGTTTACCGTCCTATCGACCATTTATCGTCGGGAGTTAACCTTGGATATCTAGCTGCGTTCTACTCAATCCCGAATTCTCGGGCTCGCCCATCGTCAAGGAGTTTCTCTTTGGCCGGATGTGCTAGTGCCATTTTCACTCCATCGACTGTCTTATGTCGAAATCATGATGACTTGTCTATTAGTCAACTCACTGTTGCATTGGGTCTAGAGGCATCGGTGGTAAAAGTCCTCCGGCTTGACATTCATGAGCGATGACCACCTGAATATGGCGTCCATACTGAAACTACACCGGGATCGACTACTGATACACAGCCGTGCAGTTTAGCATGAAATTTAACGAGAAAGCCTACATTGTCAGTATTTGTCGTAGGCAAGATCCTACATCCTCCTCCTTTCCCTCGTGAGTAACCATCATAGCACGAGCGGCATTCTGCTCCTCCTCGCGAGCGTTCTGCAAACTCTTGGAGTACTTCTTCCCCGCAACAACCCACCAAAGCAACTCGATAAGCAAGAATTCACCAACACAAACACGGGCGTAATTCATATTCGACGCTGTTAAGCCTGTCCACCTCCATCGCCCATCCATCTTCTTCTCTACAAGATCAAACTCACCAGTGACAGGCATGTAATACGGGAACGAGAAAATAACAATCGCAAACACCGACGATGCAACTGTAATAATATTCACAGCCATACCCGGCATATGACTCGGGAAGAACGGACCGCGGTGCAATGTCCGGCGACCCACAAGGACGTTGAGGTCTGAGCATGGGAATGAGTTAGGCCAGATTGTTAATCGTCCTGCATCTCATGAGTAGCACACATGTTAGTGTCTAGCAGTGAAGATTATTGTTGGTTGCTCTCTATCGTATACTCCCTAGTGGCCTCAGGCAGTCGTCATAAAGTTTTTCTCCAGTATAGTGCCCATATTAGTAATCATGCTCAAATTATGCTTCTGTATGATTCGCCAATCAGCGCCACCCCATCACATGGTGGCTGATTCAGGCTGTGAGGGCAGCCATGACGGCATTACGTCAGGAGAGATCCAACAACAACATCGCAATATAACACCCACACAACTACAGCATCCCATCCACGGAACAGAGCCTATTATATCCCTACCTTCATAACCTCCCAATTTACTGACGGGTTGAGTGGAGAAACACGCGGCCTGGCTATCTCCACCGCACGTCATCGGAACCAGGCAAATCGATCTGTCATGTCGCAGTGCCACACTAATGTCAACGGCCAAAGCTGGGATCGATCCAATCACATACACTCATCTGAAGCGGTGATATCAACGGGCTGGATGGGGGGTGCGACGACGATCAGCGTAAATTCTCCGATTGGGAGTGTGGGAGCAGGCCTAACGTAAGACTTTTGGATGTGATAGTGGACTGACGATGATCTCATCTTAGGCGCTGTTAGCGAGTAATTAGACTCGGAAGCAGGATTCTTATCCTATACTGTAAAGATAGGCGTGCAGGGTAGTAGAAGAGAGAGATGAATATCTTTAAATGCAGTTGTCTGTCATAGAGCAGGAAGTCTGTCTGTACTGTGATGTAATCTCACGATGGGGGGATATACGACTACATACTCCCTTTACCACATACCTAATGCACATGATGTATAGAATAAGTATAGCAGCTGTACTACCACAACATCATAGAAGATACAAACAATATACAATGCACCTTGACGCAATCATGACTCCTCGTCTATCAATCGAAAAAAACCAAACGTAAACAAGTATCGACACTCGTCCTGCACCGTGGTACCTAGCTCCCGTGGGAACCTCAGGCGGGTCCCTCTTCGCCTGGATGTACATTATACAGTCATATTAATCTATTCGAACCTGGCTACTCTCCTCCTCTCGACCACTCACCGGCACTCAGAACCCTGTTGCCTTGCTCTTCTCCCTCCTGATTCGATCTCCAGTCTTCCATCTCTAGTCCGTGCATCCACGGATCGACCCTTGAGCTCAAGCCACCGTCCCGTCCCCATCGACTGTGGCTGGCTTGCGACTACTCGCTTGATAGGGAGGAAGCGACTAGCGGGACACGAGGCCAGTGGAAGCGACTTGATACTGGTAGGGCTGTCCTGGCTCGGTGCATGATGATGATGCTGCTGATGCTGATGATGATGTCGACAGCCCATGACGTAGGTTGGTGATAGAAGCAAGTGCTTGTCGTCTGGCGGTTGCTTGTGTGCATTTAAATGGGTTGAGGGAGGGTGTTGCCTTGAGATTGGATACATGTTCACTCAGACAGACATATACTCTACTCCAATCGACGCTGTATACGATTAATCATACTTTGATCCGCGCAAAAGCTCATCTGATATTCACGAGATAATCTATTGCACTGTACTTTTACTGCTATCACGGTTCACAGTTTACGTTAACGGCTGACGACTCGACGACTTACTGACTTACGAATCGATCTGACAACAGCCATTACTTCGATCTTGATTTGAAAATCTTCCAGCATTGGTCCCCAATTGACTTCGTTGAGACATAGCTTCAACTACCCCTCTTATACCCCCGACCCTTCAGAGCATATCGATTCTCATCCAGACGCTATCGAAATGTCCTCCCCAAGCGTTCACGACCCCGTCCAGAGAAACCCTGCTACCCCCCGCAAGTCTCGAAAGGGCTCCGGTTCTAGCGCTGCGTCCTCAAGACCGGAGATCACCACCCCCAAGACCAAGAAAACCCCCCGCAAGCTGCAGACTAGGACGCCCAAACCCATCGAGGAAGACGTTGACGACGAGAAGCCTCCAACCCCATCTCCCCAACCGAAGAAGAAGTCTCAGCCCGAGCCCCAGCAGCGCGAGGAATCCCGCTCTCCAGAGGACAACCAGGAGGAGCCGGAGGAGCAAGAGGAGGCAGAAGAGGCACCGCCTGCTCCCTCCCCCAAGCCAAAGAAGAAGAAGTCCAAGCCCGAGCCCGAGCAGCGGGGCATTTCATCCCCGGATGATGCCCAGGCGCAGGCGTCCGGCTCTGCAAGCCGAAGCGGTAAGGCCTCGGACTTGGCAGGCACAGCGAAGGGTCTTGGCGATAAGTTGAAGGATACCGCGCAGGATGCCGGAGAGAAAGCCCAGGAAAACCTTCCATCTAACCCTCTTGACCTGTCCGCCTTGAAGGGCCTTGAGGTTGGTGAAGGTGGCCAGGTCCTGGGCAAGGATGGCAACCCCCTGGGACGAGTCGTGGAAGGCGAGCCTGAGGATCTCGTTGGCCAGGAAATCGGGGACGACGGCGAGATTCTCGACGAAGACGGTGATCTCATTGGCCGAGTGGAACTCCTGCCTGATACTGCACGGGACGTCACCGACAAGGCGAAGGAAGACCTTCCCTCGGACGAAGCGCAGAATGTCACCGACAAGGCGAAAGAGAATCTTCCCTCTACCCCTCTTGATCTATCCGCCCTGAAGGGCCTCGAGGTCGGTGAAGGTGGTCAGGTCCTCGGCCAGGATGGCAACACCCTGGGACGAGTCGTGGAAGGTGAACCCGAAGATCTCGTTGGCCAGGAAATCGGTGATGACGGAGAGATTCTCGACGAAGACGGTGATCTCATCGGTCGTGTAGAGCTCCTGCCTGACGCTGCGCAGAACGTTACCGACAAGGCGAGGGACGTTCCAGAACAGGCTGAGGATGTTGCCTCGCAGGCGAAGGACACCGCTGACAAGACTGCTGATCAGGCCAAGGACAAGGCCGAAGAGACGACTGAGCAGGCCAAGAACGTGGTGGCTGACCTCGCTGACCTCGATGGTCTTCCCGTCTCGGAAGGAGGACTCATCAAGAACAAGGACGGCCAGGCCATCGGCAAGGTCGCCGAGGGAGACCCGGAGGATCTTGTTGGCTATACTGTGAACGACGAGGGCGAGATCGTCGATGAAGATGGCGACCTCATCGGCAGAGTGGAACTCCTGCCACAAGAAGCCCAGGATGTTACTGATAAGGCTGGGGAGATCCCCGAGCAGGCCAAAGACACTGTGACCGACCTCGCCGACCTCGATGGCCTTCCTGTGTCTGAAGAAGGCGCCATTAAAGACAAGTCCGGCCAAGTCGTCGCAAAGATTGCCGAGGGCGACCCGGAGGACCTTGTCGGCTACACCCTGAACAATGAAGGCGAGGTCCTCGACGAGGAGGGCGATCTGATCGGCCGCGCTGAAATTGTCCCCCAACAAGCCAAGGACGCCACAGAGGGTGTCAATGACTCTGATGAGAAGTTGGCTCCTGAAGACCAGAGCACCCAAGAGGACATCGCCAAGCAAGCAGTTGAGAGCGTCCAGCAGCAAGGCCTCGATGACACGACCGAGAAGGCCCAGTCCGCAGCCGGTGATGCCACCGACAAAGTTGACGAAGCTGCCCCGGACGCTGAAGGCGTTAAGGACGGCGCGGAAGAAGCAGCCGAAGCTGCTGAGGACGAAGCCGAGCAACAACTGCCACCACTCTCCTCACTCGAAGGCATGAAGTGCACCAAGTCAGGCAAGATCGTCGACCCGAACACTGGCAGGCCAGTCGGTGAGCTCATCGAAGGCGACCCCAAGAAGATCTCCCGCATGGGGGCTCAACTGGACGACAAGGGCCAGTTCTGGGATAGCCGTGGTAACGTGATCGGCAAGGCCAAGACCCTTCCTGTCGAGGATTACGAGGACGAGCCGCCCTTCGCTGGCCTGGAAGGTCTCCACGTCGTTGAGGAGGGATGGGTTGAAGACGAAAATGGCAAGCGAGTCGGCAAAATCGTTCAAGGAGACGCGAAGAAGCTCCTTGGACGTGCGGTTGACGAAGACGGTGATATTACTGACAAGAACGGCAATGTCATCGCACAGGCTGAATACTACGAAGCCCCCGACGAGCCGGAGCCTGAGAAACCTGACCTTTCTCGGTTGAACGGCATGAAGCCTAACAAGATGGGATTTGTTATCGGTCCAGACGGTGTTCCCATTGCCCGTGTTGTCGAGGGTAATCCAAAGGAGCTGGCCGGTAAAGAGATCGACGATGGCCAGATCTGGGAGGGCCGTAAGCCCATCGGACGCGTGGAGCTCATTCCCGAAGAGGAGCGCGAAAAGAAGCCCGAAGGCTTGTTTGCCGGACTTGACAACCTTGTCGTGAATAAGGAAGGCTTCGTCGAGGATGAGGATGGCAACATTGTCGGCAAAGTGACCGAGGGCGACCCGAAGAAGCTCCGCGGACGCGCCGTCGACGAAGACGGAGACATCGTTGACAAATTCGGCAACGTTAAAGGCCACGCAGAGCCTTACGAGCCAGAAGAGGAGGAGGAAGAGAAGCCGGATCTTTCTATTTTGGAGGGCAAGACGGTCAACAAGGCTGGCAACGTCGTCGATGCGCAGGGCAATATCTACGGACGTATCACTTCTGGAGATGGGCGCCTTGCTGGCAGAAAGGTCGACGGCCAGGGTCAAATCTGGGGTGACAATGGAAAAGTCATCGGCAGAGCAGAGCTCGTCCCAGGGGCAGAGCAGGAGAAGCCCGAGGGACCATTCTACGGATTCGACAATGCGCAAGTTGGCAAAGATGGTGTTGTCATGGACGGCGGCCGTATCATCGGCCGTGTCATTGAAGGCGATGCCAAGCGACTCCTCGGTCGTAAGGTCGACGAAGATGGGGACATCCTCGACAAGAATGGTAACACCGTCGGAAAGGCTGAACGCTGGGAGCCAGAAGAGAAGAAGCGTGATGTTAACCCCATGTCCGGCCGAAAGGTTAACAAAGAGGGTGAGGTCCGCGACGCTGACGGTAACCTCATTGGTAAATTGACATCGGGCAATCTGCCAACCCTCGTCGGCAAGGAGATTGACGACAACGGCTACGTTGTCGACAACGACGGAAACAAGCTGGGCGAGTATACCTTGCTCGAGAACCTGCCCGAAGAAAAGGAGGAGGAACCTGAGCCAGGTCCCTCTGAAGAGGAGTTGGAGGCCCAGAAGAAGGCCGAGCAGGATAAGGAGCTGGCGAAGAAGATGACCGGCATCATCGGACAGACTCTCGATCGTCTTCACCCTACCTGCAAGAGAATTGCCGAGGTAAGTTGACAACCCACCTGCATATTCTTCGGGACAATTTGCTAACTGGCCCTGTTGCAGCTGCTCGAGAAAGCTGATCGCACACCACGTGACGAACTGGACGAAGAGAAGCTAGTCAAGGACGTCAAACCACTGATCGAAGAGGGCGGCCAGGTCCTTCAGGAATGCAACGGAGCCATCCGTGCTCTGGATCCCGATGGCTCGATTGCTTCCACTGCCAAGGCTCGCGCTGCATCACACGAAGCAACTCCCGAGGAATACGCTCTCGCGGAGAAGATCAAGGAGCTGAGCGAGCTTGTGATGAACACGATCGAGAACGGCCGCAAGAGGATCGCGGACATGCCTCATGCAAAGAAGAAGATCAACCCTCTGTGGGCCCTGCTCAGCGAGCCTCTCTTCCAGATCATCGCGGCTGTTGGTCTGCTTCTTAGCGGTGTGTTGGGCCTTGTAGGCCGTCTGCTCGACACTCTTGGACTCGGTCCTCTCCTAAACGGTCTGCTGGGTGGACTGGGTCTCGATAAGCTTCTTGGTGGTTTGGGATTGTCTTCTATAACGGATTCTCTGGGATTGACCGGAAAGAAGGACTAAGGGGAATTGCCTTGCGATTGATGAGCGGGATGTTGAACTTGAGCACTTCTACTGGTTTCTGCAATCGACATTGATGACGGGGTTTGTATCTCTCTTTCGGTTTCTTCAGCTGTTCTGCTTCTGCACAGTGTGTTTTACTTAGCCTTTTAATATGTCTCGTGAGTTTGTCTGTCATTCTGTGAGTTGTGGGATGTATAGTTACTGAATTGTACTTCTCAGTCAAGTAAATGTATCTATCTATATTACCATTATGCTTCTATGTATAAATTCTCGAGTGATATGTATCCCACTCACCACTGGCTCTCATCCTCACGGTACACCAATTATGTGCGTCGCGTAGGCCCTATCCAAACTCGTAAGACGTCCCTGTCCCTAGTCATGGAGTTGAGGATATATCCCCAGAGCGGCGAAACAAAGTATAATTACACAGAACGTAAAGGAAATCCAACGCTCATAGACAAGCCCTTAGTGTCATAAGCAAGGGCCTGAATTCTAAGCCGATCAATCATCCGGAGTGCCCTGCTTTGCACTCCACAGGATGAAGGAAACAATATTCCTTCTCATCAACCAAAGAATGACATGAAATCGGGATCAGTGGTGTTTGAGCGCAACCTTGAGAGGGTCAGTAGCATTGGGGACCTCTAAAGTGCTCTCGCCGAAATTGCGATAAGCCTGTTCCCTGGCCATCGAGCGATCTTTTTTGATGGTCAGGCAGTTAATACCCAGGAAAGTCGTTATCCGGTTGATCACCAAAAACGCCCAATGCATGTAGGCGACAAAGGCAAACAATAGATAGGCCCGCAGGTACAGAAGCTCTACCCATGCACTCACCGCAGGGAAACCCAACCTGGGCAAATTCGCAAGCACCGCGCCGCCAATAAGCGGCGTGAGCTGGACAGTCCAGTAGGGAAAAGGTTGCCTGAGCAGATGAGCGAGGATGATCTTGGTGGTCATCCGTCCGAAGACAAACGAGATTGTCCAACAGTATAGGACTAGCCGATTTTGAGCCAGCAGAGTCGAGTAAGGAGAGAAGAGCCAAGCAACGTTGCAAACGGTAAAGACGATCATTGGAACCCACTCCTTGAAGATGGTTGACACTGGAAGACCTTGCTTTCTGCGAGCTTCGATGACGTTGAAGACGCATCCCGGCAGATGTCCGACAAAAAACGATAGAAGCAGGAATGGAACCCAGATGTCCTTGACCGAGTAAGTCCCAAATATCTGGGGGTAATTTAGGAGTTCAACGATCGGCCGACTCCATATCTGAGGACCATAGTATCCCGAAGCGATCATAATTCCGATCGCGACCAGCAAGCCTTCGGTAGGTCCATTGATGTAACCCAGGTAGAGAGTATGCGTGTGGTAAGTCTCCCAGGTCGAAAAGTACATCGCGAGACAGGGAACAAGAGCCGTGTAGGCTCCTAATTGGGAAGAGCCAAAGCCCATTGCTGCTGTCTCCAGCAGACTAGCCAGAGTGCAGTTGAGGGAGTCAATTCCATGGCTGGAGGCGGTTTAGTGATAATCCATGCAGCCTCTGAGTGGTCACCTACTCAAAAAGCTCACCCAGTCCACTCGACGTTCCGGTCCTCCGCGCTTGCTTACCATCGACGTTATCCAAGGTAGAATACCTATTCAATCAGATACTTTCCTGAACAGCACACTGCGCGTGTCGTTGACTCACATCCACATGCCAAGAGCGAAACTATAGTACAACCAGGAAGGACCCTTGGACAGAGTGTCAGTGACCCATGGGTAGGTTTCTTCATACTTGAGCGATGCGTACCGGTCCGATGAGATCTGGCATAAACACCTCTATGAGCATCACATTTCCTACTATGAAAAGGAAGCCCAATAGCGTGACCATGTTGGGAGCAATCCATAGCGGGAGAACTTCGACAAACGCATTCCACTAGTGTGACAATCTTTCGTCAGAGCGAGAGCGTACGGTATGTGGGAAGAACCAAAGGGCGTAATACGTAATGCTTCAGGATATAATTTGAGATATAAGACTTATCCACGCTCTGGTACTTGTAACTCTTCAGGGGCATCAGAATTTCATCGGTAAGCGTGTCTTGAGTCGCTGTGTGAAGAGAAAAGTGAAATGATTAGTTTAGAGATAGTATATGTGATGAATAGACATTTGAACGGACCTTTGATCCTCCTGAAGATTGCGCTCATTTTGATCTCGGTTATATGCTGTGAATTCGTCCCAAAGAAAATAATAACGTCGTCTTAATTCGTTGCGCCCAGTTTCATAGCGTCGTAAGTACGGCGGTGGAACAATCCAAAACTGGCCAATTACTTCAGAGGACCTCACAGACTCTGGAGAGCTGCCGATTATTCGAGTGCTTGATCCGAAGCTCTTCAGATTCACTAATCTTCAGAGGCAGAGGTAAGGCAAAAAGACGAGGTTGGATTTGTCCTCCGCGGGTGAAGAGGATCGGCGACTCGCAATCTTCGGAGGTAACAACAGATGACAATCACGTGTTGCCGGTGGAAGCTCCGCATCTTTTGACGCGACATGACAAGGAAGTGAGGTGAAGTAGATCAGCTCGAAGGAACACATTTTCCCAGCCTCTCCCTCACTTATTCTCTCTTCAAACAAGGCTCAGGGCTGTAAACCAGTTTCCCACGAGTCTATTTCGATTACGTCTTGTTATCTTGCCAACTTCACTCCTGCTCACTTCCTCTTTTCCCCGCCGTTGACGAAGCTTTATTCATTGGGCCGCTGCTCTTTTTCAACTTGACAATTTTTCTGACCTCATCTCCCGAACGTTCCACAAGGAAGTATCACGAGAGAGGAATGGTTGCTCATTGAGCTGGACATGACGGTGGATGGTCAGCGTGGCGCTCGCGGCGCAGTGCACGATTGAGTATCTTGCGCGATGCCAGGCGTCGTCGATACGCCCACCGGGCCTCTATGGCCAGGCTTGGGATTCACTGTCGCACACCAGAAAGTTGAACTGGAGATAGATTTTGCGACCAGAAGCATCAAGGGAAAGACAGAAATCACAATCCATCCGCATTACAAGGACCTTCGAATTATTCGATTGAACTTCCGACAGGGCGAGCTGAAACGCTTAAATGTCAATGGGAAGGCGCCTACAATCAAATATGCGGATCCCTACGAATCCCTTCAGCTGTATGGTCCTCATTATCATCAACGCCTTACGACCAAAATCGATGGTTTGCTCAAGACTTCCCCGGAGCCGGACCTGCTTGTGACGATCCCGAAAAGCGTTCGGATCGAGGAGCTCGATCCTTTCTCACAGGAAGCTCAGGATCAAATGACTTTGCGCGCTAGTGGTGCGGCGGAAGAGACGGATGGGCCCTTAAGCTCTAAAGCGGCAGAAACTTCGCTTCCTCGGTTTTCGGCGCTCACGGTCTACATCGAGTTTATGATTGAGAATATTCGGGATGGGCTACAATTCGTCGGGGTGGACAACGGTGACAGGCGCTATCCGCATGCTTACACAACAAACTCGCTTGGTTACGGCGCTGGAAGCCCTCTGTTCCCTTGTGTTGACGACCCTTTGTCTCGTTGCACGTGGGAAGTCTCCGTCAAATGCCCGTGCTCTTTAGGCGATATCTTCGACCGCAAAAGTCGGGATCCATCTGGCGCCCATCGCTCAAAGTCGACACCTGGGAGTAGTCGATTCATCTCCCCGGACGACGAGACTCTTGACTTGTCAGTGGTTTGCTCTGGAGATATGACAGATGAGATTGTCGATCCTCGGGATCCTAGCAAGAAAACCGTTTCCTTCGCATGTGCCTCGCCTCTTTCCGCCCAGCAAATTGGCTTCGCCGTCGGCCCCTTTGAATACATAAACCTCTCCGACTTTCGTGAGAGCGACCAAGATGAGCAGCTTGGCCAGAACGCTATTCCTTTGCACGCGTTTTGCCTCCCAGGAAGGGGAGATGAAGTCAGAAACACATGTTTCCCAATGGCGAAGGCTATCGACTTTCTTTCGCTGACTTATGGTTCGTATCCTTTCGCAAGTTACAAGATGTGCTTCGTGGACGACACACCCGAAAACACGCTGCCAACGGCGTGCTTATCGATATGCAGCAACCATCTCCTCTTTCCAGAGGATATCATCGATCCAATGTATGACGCAACGCGAGCTCTTGTCCATGCCTTATCATGCCAGTGGATCGGCGTCAATATTGTTCCCAAGGAACCCGCAGACACCTGGGTCACGGTTGGTGTCGCCTGGTATATTACTGATACGTTCTTGAGGAAGCTTTGCGGTAACAACGAATACCGTTTCCGCCTGAAACAAATGTCCGATCGTGTGTGCGATTTGGACTATGAACGTCCCTCGATCTACGATATGGGAAATATCCTGAACCTCGATCCTTCTGAAATTGAGTTCATCGCGCTCAAAGCGCCCCTCGTCCTTTTCATTCTGGATCGACGTCTTACAAAAGCGAGTGGCAAAGCCACAATGTCTCGCATTATTTCACGCATATTCCTGAATGCCCGAATGGGGGATATACCCAATGGAGCCGTCACCTCTTCCCAATTTCAAAAGACATGCGAACGTCTCGGCCACGCGAAGTTGGATACATTCTTCCAACAATGGGTCTACGGGGCTGGATGTCCTCGGTTCCAAGCTACGCAGAGATTCAATAAAAAGAAACTTGTGGTGGAGATGATGATCAAGCAAGTTCAGTCTGAACAACCAAGTGCGCGTGATCTCGACAAAAACACATTTATGCGCGATGTCAAAGAGGAAATTCGAGGAGTCTATGCTGGACCCATTCAGCCAGTGTTCTCAGGTTCTATGACGATCAGAATCCACGAAGCTGACGGTACTCCTTACGAGCACATCGTTGAGATCAAAGAAGGTGTCACCAAGTTCGACATCCCTTACAACACCAAGTACAAGAGGCTCAAGCGGAACAAAAGACAAAAAGAGCGTGCAGCCGCGACATCTGGTGGGGACCCAAATGTGGAAGCGCAAGAGGATGTGTTGCTTTATTGCCTTGGTGACGTGCTCCAGACTGAAGAGGAAATGCAGGAGTGGAGACTAGCAGACTGGAGTAAAGAGGACGAGGATCGAATGGGTCAGGAATCATACGAGTGGATTCGCATGGACGCGGACTTCGAATGGATATGCAAGCTTTCGCTTGTAATGCCGGGCTATATGTACCTCTCGCAACTTCAACAAGATCGCGATGTCATAGCGCAATTGGAGGTGAGCGCATGACTTGCCCTTTTTCTTTTCGTACACTGACAGCGATAGTCCCTGCAATACATGGCAGCTCAGCGAGAACACCCCCTTATCTCAACCATCTTTGTTCGAACCTTGATGGATCGGAGATACTTTTATGGTATCCGTGAAGCCGCAGCGCGAGCTTTAGTAAAACACGCAAAGGAAGAAATCAACTGGTTAGGACTCTATCACCTTGAAAGGGCTTTTCAAGAGTTGTTCTGCCTCCCTGGATCACCCATGACTCGCTCGAATGATTTCTCCGACCGGGCGGCATATGTGCTTCAGCTTGCGATTCCAGAAGCTATATCTAATGTGCGCGATAGCGACGGAAAGACACCACTGAGAGTGAAGCGCTTCTTATATGATAAGCTGAAATTTAATGACAACTCTAACAATGAGGTAAGCAACTCGTGTCTACAACACGCATATGATCTTCACTTACACTTTGAATAGTATTCCGATAACTTCTACGTTGCCACTTTGATGCAGTCGTTATGCCATGCCATGCTTGGCAAAGTTGAGTCCCGCGATGTCGACGTCGATGATTTCGACATGGAACGCATGCTTGAGACACAAGCGGAAGAGCAGTTGGAAAAGGACGCTATTGCGGAATTTGATCGCTACAGGAGAATGGACGAATGGTCTAGTTCGTTTCAAAACGTCTATTCTCGTGCAGCACTGCGCTGTCAAATGCAACTCATGCGCGCCAAGATATTGGACGTTGACATAATGCAATTTCTACCATACACACGGGCCGGAACATACGATCTTCTGCGCGCGGATGCCTTTGAATGTCTTGTCGAGCTTGATGTGTTCAGAAGTCCTGAGCTTTTGAAATGGTTCATCTTCACCATGTCGAGCGACTCTTCCCTTTGGCTCAGGCGACGACTTCATGATCTGTTCGGCAAGGCGTTGGCGCCAGTTGCTTTTGGTCGTGAACCGGAAATTGGGCCCTCCGCGAATGTTGACAGCTTGATAATCGAGCAAGAATCTTCAACCGAGGTTCGTCAGGCGGATCTCGCGAGGAAGCAAACCGTCACTGGAGCCATCGAGGCGCTCAAAGGGGAGATTTCTGGTGATCAGAATTTCAAGGAATGTCTCTGGGCAGCATCTAACTCACCCGGCATTGGAGTCCTCGAGCTTTCTGTATTTGCTGATCTGTGCAGAGTCCTGTATGACCCGATCACCTCAGTGATGGTAAAGTTGAAGTATCCGCGGTATTGGCAAGTCAAGCATCTTGGAAAGGTATTCTCGTTCAGATCTGTTCATTTTCACTCTCGATACTAATCGTCTCAGGGCCGCATGCATTTCTCACGGTCCAGCCGAATCCGAACAACTCTCACACCCTCAAAAGAACCCTCGACAACTGGGAAGCGCAAACGCGAAGAGAACGGGATGCCTCCCCCTGGCCCCCGTATCACATTCAAGCAATCAAAGCTGGGTTCAAGCACTCCCTCAGCAATATCTCACCCAAGCTCGCAACCTATTCCCAAGTTGCATATTCCAAACCTTTCCGCTTCACCGGCACCTCAGCCACCGAAGACGCCGGCTGCTCCGTCCATGCCGTCGACACCAAGTGGTGGCGGCGGTGGGCTCAAGCTGAAACTCAAATTCGGCCAGAAGCCGAAATAAGTTACTTACCCGCTGTGGTATTATACCGAAACTTCACCTTTGTACTTTATTACATTGCATTTATTTCAAATCTGGAGGGGAATGGTTGAACAAGCGTCACGGCGCATGGCTGGAAGATCTGTTTCAAACGATTTATACATGTTGACTTTTGTTGTCTTCTACAACAGAGCTACCTGCTCATTTGCATTGGGGTTCATCGGGTTCTTTGTTTGATGCGATATCCTCGGCTTTATTCTCAGTGCCTCATGAATGACGATATCTTGACAAAAGTCAGGTCTGTAGTCCGAACACGACATCTCTGTCGAATTCATCCGGTAAGAATCGAGCTCAATCACGCAGAGATCAGGTGTTCTATTTTCCCGTAGAACGAACATGTAAAGAAACCAAAATGCTTTCGATCGTTTCGTATGAGCAACCAACCCATGAACTCCTAATTGCATTAAATCAATCCCACAATGACGATGTAAATTCGATCCGTGCCCATCTTCCATTCCTCAAGACTTTCCCGGCGCAGTTTCTATTTCTCAGATATCCGTTCGAGAGCCTCAAGCATCACCACCGAGTTGCCGCGAATGACCTGGTCACACCACATTAGCCTTCGCTCATTCAAAGCCTCCGATTCGCGCGACATACCACCATGCCGATGGCGACTTTCTCTCCTCCCTGCTTCTCCTCGAAAGCCTCGTCCAGGACGATGTTCATGAATACCTGCAAAGAAAACACCTGGTCAGTCCTAGAAACAACTTTCATCATCCATACCCCGTCGCAAAAGCGATCTCTTCAGTAGGGCCTCCATGGGTAAGTTCTCACGCACATCATAGCCTCGCAGGATACCAATGACTTTGCGGTTGCCGTTCAATTGGCAGAACACCCGCTTTTCCATATACTAGTGAACCGTGGGTGTCAGCTCCGGAAATTGTCAAGCTAGAATAACAGGCATAGAGCAAGATATACCTTCTTCAATTCGGGCTGAGCTTGAGGCATCTTGGCTAGCTCGTTCTGAATAATTGTCCCGATGTGGTGTCTCAAGTTCTGGCGCGTTGCGGACTTTGGAGCGGGCAGCGGGATGAGCTCTCGGAAAAATGATGTTCCGCATGCTCCAAAAAGATGTCCCAGCTCCCTGTGACGCAAAGGGCAGAATTGCAAACTGTTCTCCCCGTTATCTTACTTTCTTTTGACTAGAAAGCTTTCAGGCTTATTTAGCATGAGCTCCGCGTTTACAAATCGGAGAAAGCCTCGCAAGGTTGGCGGGGATGATGAAGAAAATGACAGCAGCGAACAAGGTCAGTATACTTCTACTCATCTTCACAGATGGCTCTCGATCTAGAATTGAGGCATCGACTGACATATAGCAGAGCCGGTTGTCAAGAGGCCGAATCCCACGAAATCAAAACAGAAGTCGAAACTTCGGTTATCCTTCGGGCCCGGTGAGACGTCCATGACAGATGATGGCGGGCAGGAAAGCGAAGTTGTCCTGCCGAAACGGCATGGGTTAGGAAGGCGAGCATTGGAAAAGAGTGCTCTTCAAAGGGCAGGGAAACCGCCTGGACTAGGCGATCAGCTTCCCATGAGGTTCGGACCAGAGCAGGATCGGCCCAACTACAGCGAGGATTATCTAAAAGAGCTCCGGGATTCGACACCGTCGACGCCTAAAACAACTACGGATGACGAGAAGGATAAGACAATCGATGTAGCTGCGAAGTTTGGTGAGGTGATGAAGGTAACTGCACCTTCGGCCATCCCGAGCGAAGCGGAGATCAGGGAAAAGAAAGCTCGCAGAGCCCGCTTAGCCAAGGAACAGGCCTACGGCACTGAAGAGCAGGATTTCATCTCTCTGGAGGACAACATGAGCGACGAGGAATGGGGCCTTGCAAAGACCGAAAAAGAGGACATGCGGGATACCAGGCTCATCCGCGACGACGAAGATTTTGCCGAGGGATTTGACGAATACGTGGAGGACGGTCGAATCTCATTGGGAAAGAAGGCAGAGCGCGAGCAGAAAATGAAGCAGCGTGAACAGATGCGGGAACTCATCGAGGATGCTGAAGGCGTTTCTGATGAGGACGATTCGGACCTAGAAGAGAAGGCGGCCTATGAAGCCGCACAGACAAGGGCTGCAATCGGCAACGGCGGCAGAGATCATATTGACCGACCTAGGACTCCGCCTAAAATGACCTCACTACCTCGTCTTTCGACAAGTCTAGATCGATTGCGCACGATGCTCGCCGTCTTAGAAAAGTCAAGAACGCAGATGATCAACCGAATGGAAGACCTGAGGAAGGAGAAAGCTGATATAGCCGTTCGAGAGGTTGAAATCCAAGCCCTCATTAAAGAAGCCGGTGATAACTATGAGAGGCTGAAACAAGAGGCCGGTCTGACACCTGGTTCTGAGGAGGATCTGTCGACTGCTGTCGATATCAAGACTTCTCGCGGACTTGAAAGCTTTGGCGCTTCTGTAGCTGGCTCGGCAGGCAACTCTGAGAGCGAGTCGTGATCCGTCATCGTCCTGACGCTCTTTCCTACTGAAGCGTTGCCCCTTCGCCCTTTCCGGCCAACAGCTCGTTGAAGCTGCAAATGGCGTCTTAGTCCTTCAATTCACTCAAGCTTCCGTCTTGAAGCTCGTGTATAGTATTTACTCAGATCGGATCTGCTCAGGCTTATGATACCCATGGATTTTTAGTCGACATTTTCTTATAATGACCCGGCCGCCATTCTTCTCCTTCTTTCGTCAACCGCTGCGTAAGCCCAAGCCTATCAAGGAAGACGTGCTGTGAGTGGACTTGCCAGACGGATTATCAACATGCAGTGATGCTTATATCAATCCGAAGACAGCACAGAGGCTTACCTCTTATTGCGACCCCTATCGACGAAAAGGATGACGATTCTCCACATTTTTGCCGCCATTCCGATGCCACCCCCATTGAACTCTTCTTCGATTTGTTTTTCGTTGCAAACTTGTCTTCATTCACCGCGACGCACGAGATCAACAACGTCGAAGGTATGTTGGGTTTAGATTGCGATCGATTAAGTCTATCTAACACTGTAATCCAGGTCTTGGGGCATATATAGGCTTCCTAGGGGTCATCTGGTTCACATGGCTTCAGATTACGTTATTCGATATACGGTTCGCTCGAGACTCGGTTTTTGAAAGAATTTGCAAGGCTGCGCAGTTGGCTGCCATGGTAGGCTTCGCGTCCGCGGGAACACGATTCACAACTCATATCCGCGTTGAGAACGTTTGGGCCTTTCAGTCGTTGAGTCTTCTGCTTGGTGGAAGTCGAGTACTGCTTGCCGTGCAGTACACGGTCAACATATGTTTGATTCATAAACGGATGAGACCTGCTGCAAAGGGGTTGTCCATCATTGTTGCGGCACTACTCGCTTCGAGTTCGGTCTATTTCGGGGTAAGGCTTGCCTTCTAATAAGGACATTTTATGACAAATTTTGGTCTGACTTGACTGACAGATGTATCTTGCCTTTCAAGAACACTATGGAATTCACTCGTACATTTGGACCGTTTGGTTTATCTTGTTCGGGTTTGAAATGTGGACGGTGATGGGGGTATCTTACATCACTCCAGATATCGGTTTTGAAGACACTCACTTGGTCGTCAGAATGGGCCTGCTTACATTGATCATCATTGGTGAAGGTGTCATAGCAGTGACTAGAATTGCCAATAAAACAGTACACCCCGGCGGCTGGACCAAGTGGTCGTTTGTCCACATATTGGGTGTGACCACAAGTGTGGTAAGGGACACTAGCAATCAGATTCTGCTTTCCCTTTTTGCTTTACAACATCTTATTGACCTTCCGCTGTGTTTAGTACTTCCTGTGGCAAGCCTATTTCGATGTCTCCCCGAGAGGCTCACTTGGCAGAATCGCTCAACAAGCATGGGCTCAGCTGCATTTTCCGTTTCACGTGGCCCTCATCCTACTCCTCGAAGGATCGCAAATCCTCGCTCTCACCTTGGACGTTACATTGAAATTGACCTATTTGACGGAGACCATCTTGTTCGCATGCGAAGAGCCGCGGCCTAAGGCGGAGGTTGCCATCAGGCTACTGCGAAGTACCATTGCTGATATGGAAATTGACTATGGTCGGGGAGCGATGAAGGAGAAAGCTATTATCTCGGAGATTTTGGAAGAGCTACCGACCCTTCCGCTATGCCCAAGCAATGTGGCGAGCGATGCCTACTTTGCGACCCATGACCGCATCGACGATTTGGTGGGAAACGTAACAGCAGCTTTATTCTCCAGCATGGGAATTACGCCGTCAGAGGGCCAAGACATTAGCCAACTGAACAATAGTCAGTTGCTCATGATGTATGTGGAAGTTCTGGGGTTTGTCTATGTGTACTTTTTCGTTGTGGCGTCAATTGCGATGTTTCTTTTTACGGCTTTTATGCTGTTGGCACATCGCCACCGGCGCAAGCTGTACGTCGGGATTGGCGTTGCTGTTCGCCTGATACTTGCTGTATTGGTGCTAGGCGTGGTTTCCTTTGTCCGACATTTTGCGTTGGCATACTCCTTCATGACGTCTCCGGTCATATTATACGCATTTACGGTCATACTGCTAACAGGTGAGTCCTCGTGACTTTTTCTTGTGCTATATAGCTCTGATGTCCTGTTTCAAATGCAGTTCTGTTGGTTGACCGACTTTTGGACCACTTTGAGGGACGCAGCCAGGCAAGAAACCGGTCCACGCGGGAAAGCGATGCTCAACTCATGTTATCAAGCCCAAGTGTGGTATTCGTTGAATCATCCTCATATCGGGTTGCCATCAGCCGAGAGCGTTTGACATGAAATGGCGCGGTGGGGAACCGGAACAGGCAGAGCAGTACCCTATTGTTGACAGAAAGTTCCGAGGGGTGCCTATGACAAGTATCCGTACTTTTCGCCTCTGGGTTCAGGCAGATCAGAGTCTGCCTGCTCCTTTCTGGTAGCCTCGAGGGGTTCTAGCAGGCTTGAGAAACAGATAAGCTGAGGTCTGGGCTCAAGACATGTATGTATCAATTTGGATCGGAGGGTATCGGGGGCGATTCATATCGAATGGGTTGGAAAGCAGGCCACCAGAATTAACTCAAATCAATGCAATCATGCCAATGAAATGGGACAACCAAAATGGGCCGATCAGCAGAATATTGAAAGCCCGATTCGCAATTGTCTGGATCCAAAAGTCTTTTACAGAAGTTCCAACGGCTGCCTTCTGTTCCGGCCGAGCAAAGACAACGGCGATGACAAACCGGATGGACGGCAACGGGAACGCACATCAAAGACGGGGTTGTACCAAAGTCAAAATCAGGCATTGTACTTCTTCATCCCACAGAGGAGAAGGATGATTTTCAGAACTTGGTCAATGTAGAAAACCAGTCCTTGAGTTGAAGGAATTCGATGATTCTTACCTTGTGTGGCCCTATAGTCTATACCCCAGGCTCGGTGTGAGCCTCAGTCTCGGGCCCGTATATCAATGATTGCTTCGGTACCATATCCTTGGGACCGGGGAGCGAGTTCATAAGATTATCATTAAGACCGTACACTGTGAGTTCAGGGATGTTGCATTAATGTGATGACTACACGAAGTAGTTCAGATACATAGAGATCATCCATCATCCACAGCAGGGATGGGACATACCGACATGCCAAGAACGACAGTGGGGATGGCAGAGGATAGGTCTGGCTCCAATAATGCGATAGTTCCTTTTATAGGTTAAACATGATTGCCAGGATGGATGTATCGATTTGAGTATGGCCGGGTTGTTTGCGGCACAGATAATTATAGAAGTGACTTGGGGTATGAAGCTTAGATCCTTTGTCGATGATTGTGTCGAATTAGAATTAAAGATGCGGGATCAACCTAATATTGCTTCCTATACTTTGATCTAACCTAAAGTAATAACCAGAGGGCGCGTTGTATGGGTTGGTCAAGATATGTCTGTGACTGTGATGGTGAAGGGCCCTATGCATATGCAGTCGTCGTGAACAACCACAAGCCATCCACACTTTCATGTATCTGTTGATATTCTACTCATTAACAGCTCTGAGGAAGCGACAGAGACGTTCCAGGGATAAAGAAGTACAAAAGTACTCGGTATCAGTGCGCATCCTCCGATCAAACGTCCCGTTCAATAGTCAGGTAGGATCTCCGAAAGCTTGAAAATCCTCCGGCTCTTATTTCTCCTCGACCATTTTCTCCAACCCCTCCAAGAAAAGAAAAGGGAAAGGGGAGGAAGTCAACTGCGGCCGTCCTACAGCCCCCATCTAAGAAAGAAGATCACCGCGGAAGCGCGAACAAAGCCCTGCATGTGGCTATCCGGGGCCAGCATGTCGACGCTGTACGCCCTGCCGCCAGTTCAGGTTGGTTTTGTCAGTGCGTCTGTCAACTGCTCATTTCTCATTCGTGCATCGACTGGCTTTTCCCCAGGGCTTTTTCCTCAGTTTCTTTCCTTGCTCCGGATTTCCGGGACATCGTTCGGATGTCCTGAAGAGGTCCCGACCTGTCTGGACTACTGTTGACTATTCGGAGCCCGGCGGGGAACTTCTTGAGACTGGTCAATTGATCATCGGGGATGGCAGTATCTGACAGAGTAAAGTAGGTCCAGATAGCAGAGTTCCTGTACGGGAGGCGATATCTCTCCTGGTATCATCCATGTTTTATTGAGACGAGAGAGTCGATAGTTCTTCAGCCCATTGTCTAGTGCAATGACATTCGGGTAGGGAAAAGGGCTTGGCCGTTACTGGTGTGAAGATTCGAGGTTCTATGATGGAAGACGTTGATGCTTCCAGGGGATCCAAGGTCTGAGACCTTATTAAAGGCCAGTCTCACTTGGCCGTTCGATGTCAAGTTCAGCTCGTAGGTTGTCTGTCTTTGATTATCAGCCAGCCTGATACTGTCTCTTTGTTGTCCATTCCTTTATTCATTCCGATTCTCTCGTTTAGAGCTCGAACAATTCATTCCCTTTTGACTCAGATAAGGTGTTACGTCACGCAGAGCACGCAGAGCGCGTTGAAACAGTCTCACTCTGAGTCCGAAAGCCCCATTGCGTTGAATTCTCGGATCGTAACGGCTTTTGTGGAAGACAAGGAAACCTGAGACAACATACCGTCTGTTCAAACTTGTGCTTCTCCTCCGTAACCAATCGACTCCGTTCCTGTTGCTATCAGACATCGCATTGAGAAGTCATCGTCCCATCGGCTCATTCCCCTTCAAGAGCATCTGCTGCATTCTTTCTTTCTCTCGCCTTCCTTCTCCTTCCTTGTCGGTGCCCCAGAGCAGGGCGCTACCAACGGCTAAGACATTGCACTTAAAAAGCCGACGCACATACAGCGCGTGTGGCGGCCAGTCAGAGATTGTCGGTATGTCAATCATGCCCCATGGCAGGTGAAACCTCTCCATATGGATCTTGACATGCTCAGTGTGCACATGTGTCCTGCAGGTGTCCCGTCAACCCCAGCAACGTGCATAGTCCGGCATTGAAGCTTCCCATGCACGCACTTCACCCGCCATCTATACCGACCAAAGAGGACAGTAGCGGTGAACTGGGCGACAAGAAGGGTAATATGGCCTCTCTTAAAGCGATGCTCCGTGTGCTCGTCGGTCCAGATCACTCCAAAACATGTTTGATCTTCGAGAAGAACTCCGATTCTACTGATCCCGATCCTGCCCGTTACCTCATTGAGAACCGTGCACATCTCCTCCGGGCAAAGCCCTCTGATCAGCAGTCTGAGCCGTGCTCCAGAGAGATCGTCAGCTGTGATCAGTCCTGGACAAATCACTGCACCGGGATCACTGAAGGACAGTCCGAGGCCATCGTTGACACCTCAAACAGAACGCCAATGGCCGATGAACAAACGATGAAACCAGACGTTTGCTCCTGGTCAGATGTCCTGACTTCTTTTGAATCTGAGGGTCATGGACTCTCTCCTAGCTACTATTCTTGTCTCGCCAATATCCAAACTCAGCATCGACCTAGACAGCCTGAGGGAGGTATCACTGTCCCTGAAAATCGTGAACAGCATGGTGATCTCAAGATGGAAGTTCCTGCACAAGGAAGTGCTTTCTGTGATGAAGAGACAAAGTCCGACAATTATCCTTGCGGCCTAGTGCACCCCATTCCGAGGCCGAGCCTGTATATGGCTGCGGACCCCTTCGGTTCGTTCTCAGAGACCAATGCAACATCAGGTACCACATCGCCTTCCAGCTCGCAAGAGAGTCTACCGGGCCTGTTTCGACAAGGTTTCCGCAAAGCGCACCGTCTGAGCGGTCACATCGGGGGCGCTATGCTATTCCAGAATCAAGGCTCGCCGGGTAGCTCTGTGGCCACAACCGACGATCCTTACACTCCTATCGCCGGCACATGCAGTGGTACCACGCCTCTCCACTGGTCCAGCGGCGAACAGATGGTGCCATGGGAGATGCAGAGTCAGGAATTTGAGCCTCAGGCCCCTAGCTGCGTCAACGTACGCTGCTTTTCTGACCTGCGCCATCATGGTGGCCAGATTGAAGAGATTCCTCTCAACGCCGCAGTCGACGTCAGCCATGCTCTACCTTCTTTGGACTGCGGCCAGCACTACCATCAGCAACCACCGTTTGTTCTGCAACCCTTCACCCCTCGTGAATACAACTCAACAAGCGCCAAGGAACGAAGTGCAGTCGACGGGGAACATTGCCAGTTGGCATTTGCCAACAACGAGCTCACATACCCCCAGCACGGCTACGAAATCATCCAATCTGTGCATGCGACGATCGCCAGCAACAGAGCCCTGATGCGTCAAGGGCGAGCAAGCACCCGGTCGATCCCATGCCACAACGAGACCCGAAATGCATTCTTGATAGAGTGCAAGCGCCGCGGATTGTCGTACAAGGATATCAAGAGGCTCGGAGGGTTCGAAGAAGCCGAATCAACGCTCCGCGGCAGATTTCGGACCCTCACAAAGTCCAAGGAGCAGAGGGTGAGGAAACCCCAGTGGAAACAAGAAGACGTGAGTGGCAGAATTCCAAGTGTCTCTTTCATTCTCAACTAATGCCCAAACACAGATCAAGCTGCTCTGCGAAGCAGTCAACGCCTGTTCGGCGTCTGCAACGCAAGCCTCTAATGCATTTGCGCCGTCTTGTCGACCTAGGGGTGTAGGTTTGCCACCCAAAGTATCTTGGAAGAAGGTCGCTCAGTATATATGGACTCATGGAGGCTCGTATCATTTCGGGAATGCGACCTGCAAGAAGAAGTGGTGCGAGGTGCACAATGTAAAGATGTGATCTAGGTTGCACGCCGCGGGGAATTTTAGGCTATCTCAGCGTTATTGTCCCCTTTGTTCGTCTTGGATTTTCGTTGTGCTTCTCCTCTGTTCTTGGGGAGACACTGTTTGGCGTACTTAGTCGCTTATCTTGGGCTTTCCCACAAAAATGGAGAGAATTCTCAATCCAATGTCATATGTACTGTATCGTCAACTCACATACAACACAAAAGACATGGGCGGCTTTCTTTCATGCGACAGTGCTATATACATCTCTCTAGGAGCATTCTTGAAGAGGTCACGCCAATGATCGTCATAAAAGAGCGAGTCCACGAGAGTCTGGCTGAGGATAGCCGATCGTCGCGAGTATGTCCGCCAATGTCTCCGGGTTACGCCGAATCTCATTCCACTCGGCCTCAGCTTTGACCATAAGGGTTCCAGCCAGGATTGTGCCGTTCAGGGTAACGACACCAGGTTCGTGGACATCTCGCAAAGCGCTCGGGTCGACAGGTATCCGACCAGTTTCACTTCTTCTAGGGCAAATCATCATCGTCGACTCGGTCATGGCTAAGTTGTAGCTGATGGCTGCGGGGCCATCTGTCACTCGCGCGTGGTCCCCCAGGCTTCCCCTCGCAGTTGAGAGCGCTACTCTGTACAAAGATAAGTAGATCGCATGCAGCGTATCAGCTGAAGGGTTCTGTGGCAATGGTAGCGCAAAATGGGCGAAGGGGATTTGGTTCAAGCGTCGGTACTCTGACTCGGGGCCTACAGACTGTGATGAAACCGTATCAATGAAAGGTCGCCAACTTCCCGAGTCACCCTGAGACATGGCTTCCACTGGCAAGAATTGCAAATGCCTATGGGGCTGACTCGCGCCACTCTCGTCTCCGGAATTAAAGAATGCAAATAGTCTCTTTGACCCTGAGTCTGCCTTTTCCGTCTGGTCGTCCCTCCAAGCTTTCACGCAGGCATAAGCAGCATCCAGATCTTCCTTCTCGAGTAGATCCGTTTGCGACTTCCATGCCTTGGTCGCGAGAATGAAGTGATTAGGAATGACAGGGTATTTGTTCAACACCAGTGTATATGTCGGATTTTCTTGAGGAATCTGAGCGATCAAAAGTTCTGCTGAGGGATTCTCGAAAGGATCGGGCTTCGGACCTGATCGGTCCTGGTCGGGTTTAGGAGCGGAAGGTTTCTTTGCGAGAGCTGGGCAGTAACGAAGTTGATACTTTGAGACCTTGGGGTTAGCCTTGAAAGTCCAGAGATAGCTATATCACCTTAGAAGGGAATTGAAAGAGCACATCCTACCGAGATTCCTCCAGAGTTGACTATGGAGAGATGAGTATGTGAGAATATCAGGTGGCCACCTTCCTTGGCAGCAATGAAACGCTTGGTTACCAGAGCAGGGAGGCTCTCCTTCAACCCCAATTGCATGTTGTCAAAGCTCTGCGTTGATCTCTTTGTGATTGAGTCGGTTCCTGAACGAACCGAGAAGGAGAAGGAGAGGTAGATGATTGTTGGCTGTGTGGTTTCGGAGAATGTGGAGCAAAGACTGGCATGTGCGGGGAATCCCAACAACATCAAGGCAATCCACTCGACACCCATTCACCCTCGATAACCAGCACCAGCACCTTAACACAACAATTCATGTATAAGACTCCAGCTGTATGCTCAGGTATGCCCCAAAGGTCATCACATTTGGTACTTTTCTACCTGCAGCCGCACTGATTCGAGGTCGAGTCCTTGAAATGTCTTGCCATTTTCCATAGGAAGAAACAATCCAGGGAGAACAAGTTTGATTCGTCTCTGTCTGGCAGAGCAGATATTATTTATAGAAGTAGCAGATAGCGCTTTTATCCGATGCGAGGAGATGACTTGTATCAGAATCTCCTTTCCGTCTCCCATGACACCGTGGCATAAGCCAAAAAAACAAACACACAAGCAGAAAACATTGACATAGTAAGTCATGCATCGAAGCAGATAAAATAGTCAGTGGTATCATATCCCAATATATAGCACACAGGAATTCGCTATTCATGATGCAGCATATGCAAAACAGAGAGGTATCCAACAAGAATGTAGGAGTGAAGAGGTAAGAGGAGGAACAACTCAGGGAAGGTGGCCGCATTCACGACATCAAGTCATCGATATCCACATCTTCGTGAGGATGAGAAAGTGTAGGGAGGATCATCGCCGGCTGTCCCATGAGATGGGTTGCCGGTCCCTCTAACCAGGGACCCCTTTCCTCCTCGTTGGCGCTCAACAAGCCTTCAGCACGTTTCAGCGTTTCGACATCCAGATCAGTTATATATGCCTCCCGGTTGGTACCATCTCCAGCCCCTCCGGGAAGCTTCAGCCGTACTTCGAACTCATTGTCGAGCATCATTTCATCTTTCCACAGACGGCGCTGGCCGTCGAAAACGCACAAGACACGCTTCTTCGTCTTCATGCTGCTGCTCGGGCAGCCCCAGGAAGGAGGGTAGCGATCGCGGTTGTTGCGCCTTTTTGAAATGGTTGCACGGGCCTTGCTATTTTTCGTAACAGCGTTGTTGCTGCCCAAGATAGGACGAGATCCTACACTCGCATTCCCTTTGTTTGACTTGGATGAACCTTTGCTTGATCGCAGGTGAAGATTGAGTTCGTTATAATCATCGTCCTCTTCTTCGTGTTCATCGTCGAGGCGGTCAACATTGCCGGCCGCATCAAGAAGCTTGTGCTTCTCCATGGTCTTCTTGACCTCCTCATCGCAGTCCACTTCCGCCAGCCGTTGCTGGTTGATAACCTCACTAGGCTCTACTTGTTGCACGACCCGGAGAACACAGTCGTCAAGATGCTCGTAAAAGTCCTGTGCGTTGCTGAAGGTGGCAGAGCAAGTTGAGCATTTGCCAGTGGCGTCCTGACAATAATCCGAAACCTTCTTGCCAGAGGCTGCAGCGGGGCTCCTCTTGCGACAGTTGGGTGGTGTTTGCTCAACGCCATGCACCGAGGTCAAGTGACGCTTGAAGACATCCGCTCTGTTGAAGCTTTTCTCGGCAGGTGAGCCAGAACCTGGACAGAATCCACACACCATGGTTCCCTTGTAATGGGTGAGTGTGTGCCGGTTCTTGTCGTATTTACGAGCGAAGCCCTTGACGTGGTATTCGCAAGTAACGATGGGGCACTTCTCGGGTCGTTCTGACTGATGAGTGAGCATATGAGCCTTCAGATCCTTGAAGACTCTCCCGCAATCGGGATGAGGACAGCGTCCTTTCTCCTTGCTCTCTTCATCAAAATCTGCAACGCTGGCAGCTGGACTCAGCTGAGATCGACGGGAATGGATGGATGAAATGGACGACCTCCGGTCATAGATGGAAACGGGGCGTGAGTGAGGGGCCGAGTTCGGAAGAGAAGAGACAGGGAGTCCAGTGTGTGAAAGGTGATCTGCAGAGTAGCTCTCGGGAACGGGGAGTTGGGATGGGTCAGGAGACTGGGGATAATATCCACAGTTGGCTGAGTAACCTGAGGGCTCGGGAAACGTGATAGTAGGAGTCGAATAGCTTGGATGTTGGTGCATTGGTTGTATCAAGGAAGGGTCTGTTAACCATGAGTCAGTATTTTTGAAAGGGCTGGCAATTTGACGATCGAAGAGCAGCAGAGAAACATAGGAATTTGCTTCATAACGAAATGTGATGCAAACTCATGGCACTCACCAACAAAGTCGTCCGGGCCTTTCCTCTCATAGATATCCTCCGCTTCTAACGAGCTTCCCATAAACTCATTGGGAAAGAATTCATCCATAACGGCGGCAGGAAGCCCGATACCGTGATTAGTATCGATCCAGCTCTCCGGGAAAGTATGTGCAGTGCCGGAGTATGGCGAGCCGATCGCCGATGATGATGCGCTTGCGATGGAGGGTCCAGATGCAGTGGAGAGGCCCGACATATAAGGCTCTGTGGAATAGGGTACTGGAAGGGATGGGGGAGTAGGAGGCATGGGAGGAAAACCGGAAGTTTTGGCCTCAAGCTGTGAATCAGCATAGACAGGCGATGTTTCGTAGTAAGATATTGGGGCGCTGGTTGAATCAGAAGTCTGCCCGAACCCGCCGAAGTTATCCATTTGAAACCCGAATGGATCGACCAATGCTGGGTCCATAGCGACGCTGTGAAAGTATGATGTTTGTCGTTGACGCGACGAGTCCAATGCCAACATTTTGATCTCCTTGTGCGCTAATGTACGGTATAGAACAAAATCAGAATGTGCTCTTGGGCTCTGCATGCACACGTCCTTTGGTCAGTGGTCAACTGTGCTAGTTCCCACCATCCGGTGAAAGACGAGGCCTGAGTTTCAGTAAGGAGATTGAGGCGCGAGATCTGCATGAAGTTGGTTGTCAGTCAACATCTCCTTTCATTGCTGTTGCAGTAAGATTGGTAAATCGCCAACTAAAATTTGATTGACACTTATGGGAAATGCGAGCATACCGCAAGATGAGCGACACCTCAAACAAGGGAACGGGCCGCTCAAAAGTGAACGTGAACCTCGGTCAACAAGCTGATAGTCGCCTGCACAATGCAAGGGAAGTTCACAGGATGATCTTCGGATCGATGCGAAAAATATTTCGAGGTATTTGACCGGATCGCCCACGGGTATGGGAACTATTCCGAGAACAGCAAGTTGCGCGATTCTGAATTATTTCGTCACTCAATTTTGGATCAAAAGAGTATATATATAAGACAAGAACAACAGTCACACAGAAGGCAATTGGATGCAAATCAGTGGACCTGCACGGCCAAGTCGGGGGAGGAGTATGAAGTATGTTGGAGAAGCAGGTGATAAAAGGAAAGGAGGACAAGGTGCTGTCTTGTATGAGCGCTTCCTTTGACACTTCTTGTCAGGGTTCAAGAAGGGTCCATCTACTATTCCTTGAGGTAGGATGAGTCTTATGTAGAATGAAGGAATGACGGAAAGGAGGGAGGGAAAGCATTGTTAAATGTTATATGATTGCTGGCCCTATGGCAGAAAGTGTACCTCATTCTGGGCTTGCAGTGGACTAGACTAGACTAAATTACTAGAGTGGATTCTGACTAGATAGATTAAGTGAACTAAACTACGTACTACGAACTGGATGAACTAGGTTAACTAACAGCGCTAAGTCAAGCCCATCCAGACTACTGGAGGTGGAATGCGCAGCAGGAGACAGGGGAGTGCTTAGTGTACATTGAGACTGACTGGGGTGGGTGGATGTGGATTCTGGGTGGTTAATGACGATGATACCACCCTAAGTGTATTAAATGTATTTCTCTGAACCAAGTGTCAGGGAAAAATGATAAAAACAGGGAAATTATAGAAGTATATGTGCCAATGCTACCGAATCCTTTGTCCTCTACTTTGATACTCGCAATGTTTTCAGGGCAGAGAAAGCGAGGGGAAAAGGGGAAGTGGAGATCATGGTCAAGCAGGGACTTGGTATCATTTTTTTGATTTTTAGATATTGATTTTAGATTTACATAGTTTATATTTAATCCATAAATATCTTTAGCGGTAATTGGGTTTACAGAAATACCACTAAATCTGCATGCGCTATTTGCACTGCCATAAGTTCTTCCCCATTTAGTGATTGCCTTGGCTACTGCAGTGTTTTGGGTCGTCTATGTTTCCATGTGTTGTATTGAAGACTAAGGTACCTCATGGTTCCTGCATTTTTATTTCCAGCTTTGTAGGTCTGTAGGCAATGATTCTATCTCTTGTATTCAAGACTCCGAGCCTGTTGACATGGTTCCTCATTCCAGATTCCACTCAAAATCATCATGGTAGGTGCTCGCTTCTGCGGGTTATTTTAAGACTTGCTTGAAGTGAACTGACCACGTAAAGATACTCCTTATCTTTGATAAGAATAAAATTGTTGATTATTTTCCAAGCTACTTACCTCAAATGAATAATGATACAATTTCCCTGTCGATGTCTCATCATTCTTGTGTGTCGGGAACCCCGTGTCCATCTGAGGCTAGGGATGCATGCTTGACATTTGTGGATACAAATGTCATCGGCAAGTCCGTGTACAATTGACTTAGCACCGTCAGACCGGACCGGGGACTCTAGTTCGTAAGGATACAGACCACAGATTTCAGTAATCAAGCAATTTCTCTGACTCTCTAGAGAACTCTGTTTATCGTGGTCTCCGCTTAATCTTATTGTCATTCCTTATCTTTCAGTATGATCGGATCTTTGTGATAAGATGGTGGCAAAATCCTCTCCCATTGACCTACAAAACGAGGGGTATCACGAAGACCTACGGAGACGGAGACGGGGACGGACTATGGGGTAAATACTAGCAAGGATGAGTGATTTGAAATAATGGTGAAGTAGCTCTGCTGTTCCACAAAGTACCTTACACATACTCACAATTCGCAATTTACGAATATATGAGCCTATGGAATCAGATATCGATAATTAATGGTAATCGGCATGATTAATGAAAAGTTGCTAGCAAGGCAAGGTATTATGATTGATCGCATATCTGCTTGGCAAATTGGCAGTCTGGCAAAGCCTCACCCTGTCCCGTCAATCCGGTACAGATCATCATCTTCACTCCTGAGGAGACACGGGAGGCAGCAAACTCCAGATCTTGAACCATGGCCGCAGTTTCCGAGCACCCTTCGCCTTGATCCGGTTAGCACTTTTTTTGGTTCTGGGGCTTTGTTGACGATCTTAGTCTAGCCCCACGACCCCAGCCTTTTCGAGGAACGTGCATATGAGTTTCGCCTAATTGATTGGCTCAAATATGTGACAGGCAAATGATGCTCGAGAAAATTAAACCAATCAGAAACCTGAACTGGCACAGACGGGAAGGACCTGACCTGTGCTTCGTTTTGACGTGGACGAATCTTTCTGCTTGATGTCAATATGTCAGTTTTTTCGCAGCGAGAGTCGCCTCGAAGGTTTTGCGTCGAGGTTAACAAGGTTATTTCTCGCAATAATAGACACTTGAAAACATCGTCAAAGATTGTAAGTACCAGTGTTGAGTGTTTACATATCACTGTGCGGGTAAACTGTGAGTGGGTCGGCTTAGGGTGCTAAGGTACCTAGGTACCTTACAATATTGAGTCCTAGCGTGACCTGTTTTCGGTATCACTACGTATTCCGTACTCCAGAATCGAGAGGTCAACTAATGAACAAGCATGCTGGCGCTGTACCTGTACCTGTACGCCGTGCGGGCTTCGAGTCGAATAGGTATTTCCATCAGCTGATCTCAAGGGGTTGCAATTAATTGTGTAGTGCGGAGTATAGGTAATGAGTACCTTGGACAGATCTGTCTGAATTTTCACCATTTGAATATGAAATTTACAGGCATGGGGTCGAAGGTATGGTATCTGGTAGTGTGGAGGTTGAGACTGATGAAAAATTTAGTCATAATGATGCAGTGCATCTGCTGTTGCCCTACGGAGTGCAGAGGTACAGAGATGCAGGAAACCCCAAACGGGGCATTGGTTGAGTCAATCCCTGAAGAAGGAATGTGGATGATACACTGTGGACCATGGACGCTCTTCTCCGGAACATGACATGACAAAATATTTGAGATCGGTGAGGAAAGCGCTCCAAAACAGCCTTAGCGCCACACCTTGGTCGAAGCCACATTAGATAATCCAATCATACTTTATAAAAGCGATCTACCCGAATTTCCATTGGCAGATCCCTGGATCAACGAGCGAATCGAGGCGCAGCAACTTATTTTCACACCGCTGCCTCAAAATTCTGTTTTGTTTTTCCCTTTTTTGTTCGTTTCTGTTCCGGAGTGCCGACTTTTGATGCATGGCCACAATCATGGTCCGTATCATGCACTATGGATGAGACGGGATATCCACAATACTGCATAGCATGCCAGCATGGTCATCAATCATGTCTCCGTGATTCTGGTTGAGGTATCCCCCTAGAATTGACCGATGCTTCTACTTGAATTCTAGAGCGAGGACACGGTTGGCCTGCCTATTGTTGCGGTGAAACAACCTTATTTCTGACCGAGAGTCTCGGTGAGAAAGAACGAAAAATATGGACATGAAACTCTCAAGTAGGAACATGCCCAGGAAACTTTCATTCTGGCACTTCCGACATCATTGCCTGACGGATCGTTACCCATCGTTACTTGTTTGTGGTTCTCGTATCTCCGGACGAAAATCCACGAAGGAATGCGGTAATTTCCGAGAGACCGACGAAAGCTACCCAACAGATATTTGACATACCGAAGGATTCTGAGGCTCTGCTACCTAGAATATCCTACAGATAACGCTCAACTTTATTGCTAAGAGGGTTTGTGTAGCAGCCGTTGAAACCACGCAGGTTGATCAATTATTCCTAGTACCAAGACAAAGTATGCAGGGACAGAATAATCGCTTTTTCCTTCTTATTTGCTGACAACCCACAGTGATCAATGATCAATCCATAACAATCAGTGATAATCGCTAACCAAGAAAAAATACTTCTGGCGCCTGGGCGCAAAAGGAATGGTACATATTGGAGAGCGGCGTCGCCGAACCCTGACATTTGCACGTGGGAGATGCATGTCCACATTTTGATCTTAATGGGATAGGAAAATCCCTGGCTGCTGACAGGGATTAATCTCCAAGTACCCAAGAATAGTCGTTACATCAGGCCGTAACAGTCATATCTAATGACGCTCAAAAGAAGCTTCGAATACTGGTATTCAGGTATTGAGTTTAAAGCTGGCTTACCAATGCTACAGAAAAACCATTGCTTGAATGTTTCAATAATGGGATCCATAATGGTGTCTACTTGTTTCCTGTTGTTTTTAAGAAAAAAAAACACAAACACAAACAAAACTTAAACTAAAACAACAAAGAAGTTTGACATCTTGGCAAGCGATTGTCTCAGCCCTATTATAGAGTTTGAGTAATCAGCAAATGAAGAAGCTGAACATACAGTCTAAGATTCCCAACAAATCATCCCTGCCTCCATATGCCAGACAAAAACAGCTGTAACATTACAAACGCTGATCCTAACAGAGAAAGAGACATTCTGGCTACCTTGGGCTTGTATTATCTCAATAGGCAACTGACAGTCGAGAACATCCATCTATTTTAGAAAATGGCATCTTGGCGTTGGGAATTAGGGCATCTAGACACAAGCCTCTTCAAGCCATCAATGACCGAATTCAAAACCGATTGTTGAGTGTCAGCTGATCCTTTTGCGGTGCTATT